ATTACGTTAAAGTTGGAGTGTAAGCCAGTGCAGCAACTACGGATGTCAGTATGAAAAGTATGCAGATAATTGGCCTTGCGCCATGGCCTAGTGGCTTGCTGGGATCCCATATGGGCGCCGGTTCTAATCCCAGCAGCCCCGCTTCCCATCCAGCTCCCTGCCTGCGGCCTGGGAAAGCAGTCAAGGACAGCCCAGGCCTTGGGACCCTGCACCCACGTGGGAGATCCTGAAGAGCTCCTGGCTCCAGGCTTCAGATTGGCTCAGCACCTGCCGTTGCAGTCACTTGGGCAGTGAACCAGTGGAAGATATTTCTCTGCGTCTCTCCCCCTGTCTATATATATCTAACTTTGCAATAAAAATAAATCTGGAAGAAGAAAAATATGCAGACAACTGAAAATGGATGTCTATGACCCAGCTACTCCTAGGATATACCCAAAAAGTGAAATCTGCATATGAGAATATGAGAAAGTAACGTGAAACCCTATGTTTATAACAGTACAATCCACAATAGTGAAGACATGGAACTAACCCAGATGGCCAACTACACAGGAATGGGCAAAGAAACTGGTACAACTTCTACACCATGGTATGCCACTCAGCCATCAGAAAGAATTAAATCCTAGGGCCCTGCGTATAGCCAGGTGGCTAAACCCTTCCTTGTGCCAGGATCCCATATGCACCCAAATGCTTTACTTCCCTTCAAGCTCCCTGCTTGTGGCCTTGGGATCCTGCACCTGCGTGGGAGACCAAGAAAAGGTTCCAGGCTCCCGGCTTTGGATTGGCTCAGCTTCAGCCATTGTGGCTACTTGGGGAGTGAACCAGCAGATGGGAGATCTTTCTGTCTCTCCTTCTCTCTGTAAACATGACTTTCAAATAAAAAATAAGTAAATCTTTTAAAAAAAAATAATGAAATTCTATTATTTGCAGTAAAACCATCCCAAGTGGAGACTGTTACACTCAGTGCAATAGGCCAATCTCAAAAGGGACAAAGGTCTATGATATAAGGCACATTCCTGAAGATGGTCCTCGTGTTTGGACCCCTACCATCCATGCAGAAGACCTGGGTGGACTTCCTGACGTGGCTCGGCCAGCCTTGGCCATCAGAGCCATTCCAGGAATGAACCAGTAAAAAGAAGAGCTTTCTTCTCTCTTTCTTTCTCTCTCTCTCCCTGTCTCCCTCTCTCCTTTTTTTTTCTCTCCCTATTAAATAAATATTTAAGGTTTTTTTTTTTCTCAAAAGTAAATAAAATTCTTGTAATAGGAGATAAAGCTCCAATCACTGGTTTACTTCGCAAATGCCTACAATGGTTGTAGCAGAGGCCAGAGCTGAGACGCAGGAATGCGACACAGGTCTCCACATGGGAGGTTGGAGTCCAGTAACTCCAGCTGTCACTGCACTGCTAAGAAGCTGTAGTCAGGGGCTCAGTGCAGTGGCTCAACTGGCTAACCCTCCACCTCCAAGCATTGGGATCCCATATGGCACCAGTTTGTGTCCTGGCTGTTTATCACCTCCCATCTAGCTCCCTGCTTGTGGCCTGGAAAAGCAGCAGAGGACAGCCCAAAGCCTTGAGACCCTACACCCATGTGGGAGAGCCAGCAGAAGATCCTGGCTTTGGATCAGTTCAACTTCAGCCACTACAGCCATTTAGAGAATGAACCAGCAGATGGAAGATTTTTAGCGTCTCTCTTTCTGTAAATCTGACTATCCAATAAAAATAAATAGATCTGGGCCTGGCAGCATGGCCTAGCGGCTTAAGTCCTCGCCTTGAACGCGCCGGGATCCCATATGGGCGCCGGTTCTAATCCCGGCAGCCCCACTTCCCATCCAGCTTCCTGCTTGTGGCCTGGGAAAGCAGTCGAGGATGGCCCAAAGCCCTAGGACCCTGCACCTGTGTGGGATAACCAGAAGAAGTTCCTGGCTCCTGGCTTTGGATTTGCGCAGCACCAGCCGTTGCGCTCACTTGAGGAATGAATCATCGGACGGAAGATCTTCCTCTCTGTCTCTCCTCCTCTCTGTATATCTGACTTTGTAATAAATAAATCTGAAAGAAAGAAAGAAAGAAAGAGAGAGAGAGAGAGAGAAAGAAAGAAAGAAAGAAAAAGAAAGAAAGAAAGAAAGAAAGAAAGAAAGAAAGAAAGAAAGAAAGAAAGAAAGAAAGGAAGGAAGAAAGAAAGAAAGAAATAGATCTTAGGAGAAGCAGAGCAGTAGATGGAGTAGGACTACACACTTGGAAACCAACCCCAGGCACTCTGGTGTGAGACAGGCAGCTGAGTTGTTAGAAGTGGCTATGGCAGCCACCTGGGAAACGAACCAGTGAGTGGGAGATTAACCTCATTCTCTCTACATCTGTGTGTGCATTGTTCTGCCTCTCAAATCTCAACAAACACATGGATGCCAGTACTGTGGCCTATGGGGCTAAGCCTGTTCCCGCAACACCAGCATCCCGTATGGGTGCCAAGCTCTCACACCATCACTCGCTGCCTCTGAGGTTGCACATCAACACATCAATTGGAAGATGAGCGGGAAGTTGAGCGGTTGGGATTTGAACCAGGCACTCTGCTATGGGGGTATGGGCATTCCCAATAGGTTAATCACCTGTCCCTAAACTTGTATTTCAATTCCATTTTCCATGAACTTAAAACTTTTGTTGATCTTTATGGGAAAGGCAGATTTACAGGTAGAAGGAGAAATAGATCTTCTATCAGCTGATTCACTTCCCAAGTGGCCGCAATGGCCAGAGCTGAGCTGATCCAAAGCCGGGAGCCAGGAGCTTCTTCTGGGTCTCCCACATGGGTGCAGGGTCCCAAGGTTTTGGGCTGCCCTGTACTGCTTTCCCAGGCCATAAGCAGGGAACTGGATGGAAAGTGGAGCTGCCAGGATATGAACCAGCGCCCATATGGGATCCTGGTATGTGCAAGTTGAGTATTCAGCCACTGAGTCATTGCTCCAAGCCCTTTCCATGAATTTTCCTTTTTTTAAGATTTATTTATTTTTATTGAAACCACAGATATACAGAGAGGAGGAAAGACAGAGAGGAAGATCTTCTGTCCGATGATTTACTCCCCAAGTGACCACAATGGCTGGAGCTGAGCTGATCCAAAGCCAGGAGCCAGGAGCTTTTCCCAGGTCTCCCACACGGGTGTAGGTCCCAAGGCCTTGGGCAGTCCTCAACTGCCTTCCCAGGCCACAGCAGGGAGCTGGATTGGAAAGTGGAGCAGCCAGGACATGAACCGGCACCCATATGGGATCTTGGCATGTGCGAGGCAAGCACTCCAGCTGCTCGCTAGGCCACCGCACAGGGCCCCCACGAACTTTTCAAAACACCTTTGTACAACTGGTGCTTTGGCTCTCACTTCCTGCTTGCTCTGAGCATTAAACCAGACACAGGTAAAATCAATGTTTCCATCAATGAGCCTTTTGCCCTTAGCGTTGCATGTAGCTTTCTATATCCCTCATTTATTTTTTTTGTAAGATTTTAAAATTTTTATTGGAAAGGCAGATTTACAAGAAGGAGACACAGAGAAAGCTTTTCCATTGTCTGGTTCACTCACTAGATGGGTGCAATGGCTAGAGCTGAGTTGAGCTGAAGGCAGGAGTTTAGAGCCTCTTCTGGATCTCCCACGCAGCTGGCAAGGTCAGGCTTTGGGCTGTCCTCTCCTGCTTGTCCAGGCTACAAGCAAGGGGTTGGATGGAAAGTGGAGCAGCTGTTACAGGAACCGTCACCCATTTGAGATCTCCACGCTTGCATGGGGAGGATTAGCCAATTGAGCCAGGCCCCCTAGATGCCTCAGTTTAAAGGGAACATTAAAAAAAAAATTTTTTTACGTGTACCTAAAAGGCAAAAAGAGAAAGACAAGCAAGGATCTGCCATGCATTGATTCACTGCACAAGTGTCTGAAATAGCCAGGACTGTGTCAGACTTAAGTCCAAGGTTGGTAACTTGCTCCGGGTCTCCTGTATGCGTAACAGAATACCAAGTAGTCAGGGACCTAGGCGGGACTTGAACCCAGCCACACTGGTAAAAATGAGCATTTCAAAACTCCTCCAAAAACATCTCCAAAAACCTCTCCCCTGGATTTTCTCCCAAGATGTTGGCAGGTCTGGGCTTTGCTCCTGGTAGCAGATGCACTTGTTTCCCTTTTCGTGTTTTAAAGGAACTCTCCCTTTTAGGTACTTTCCTGAAAGTTCTGAAGTAGCAAACCCCTTGTGCCAGCTCCCCCGGGAACCCTCAGAGAGAGAACTGGAACAAGCACCTTTGGGCAAAGTTTACTGCCTCTGGAGTGAGGTGTGCACGTCAGGAATGATGACTGACTGGGCGAACAGAGCTAGGGTAAGTTAAAACTCCATAAAAGATCTACCTTTCTCCTAGTTAAGCACTTCCTTGTTCGCTGTATTTTTTTTTTTAAACCTCTGGGTTGTCATAAAATTGTGCCAGGTGTTTCTTGTTTCCAGAGAAGACTAGATCCCAAATCCCCCACTGTTATCACTAATAGCACCTAAAGGGTTCTCATGTAACGTCATAAAGTAGGTCGTAAAGGTGGAACCCCCAGGTAAGGTCCCCGTAAAACAGGACCGAGGCAGTATTCAAAGCCACGCCCTCCCCGCCGTATTCTCTGTTCTATCTGTTCACTCCCTGCGGTTGAATCCACACATTTACAGGAATACCTACAAGTACTGTCACAAACTTCAACTCAGAAAGTCTCTGATCCCAAACCCTCACAAATTTTGCTGCTTTTCTGCCTCTGGAAATTCTCCCTGACTTCTCAGTTAAATGGCGCTCTCCGTCTCAGCTAAATGAAAAGAAATCCTTGGACAGCCCGGCTGATGGTGAAGTCCTGGACCGGGTCCCGAGTTCTTCCGGGAACTGACCAGCGGCAGTTCCCGCTAGGAGCGCCGGGGCAGCGCGCAGCCAGGCGGGGTGCAGGGGCGCACGCTTCGCCCCGCCCGCCGGCCGCGCCCCAGGACGGCGTCTGCAGCCCCGACAGCCCAGAATCCGGAAACGTCGGCTCCAGCAGCCAGCGCCTGACTTGGGGGACGCCGGGAGCGAATCTGGCAGGTGCGTGGGAGCCGCCGGGTGTCCCGGGCCTGGATTCCCTGTAGCTTTGACCGACACTGGGCCGATGTGGTGGCGCACCAGTTGCTTTGGGCTGCTAGCTACGCCAGGCCCGGACTCAGCAGGGTGGCAGCTGCCGGATGCAGGGCGGATCGAGGGTCCCCATCGCACCTGGAGGCTGACTCGAGTCCCCAGATCCCTGATGTGTCCGCGAACTGAGCAAGACGCAGTAGGACGCGGTGTTTCTCCTTTGCTGGGTGCCCAGTGTCCAGTCTGCTTTGCAAGTTAGGCTTGGGGGGGGGGGGGACCTGTTGAATGAGCAGTCTCTTGATGAACAATCGGGAAATATCTTCACCAGAAGAGCCATGGAGAATCCACCCAGCAGTGACATGACACCCCTCCCCTGAGGAGTCGGGGGTCCAGACGGCCAGCTCAGCTCCGGGAAACCAGGGGCGCTACTGTGTGCTATGGGAGTAGCTGTGGCAACAACAGCCTTAGCTTTTTTAGGCGCTTAGTGGTCCTAATGGGGAGGTCGTGTGGGTAGAGTTTGCGTTGGAAGGTGCAGGTGCGCTTTCGCTGGTGCGCACAGATTTCATTAAGTACGCCAGGCATCCGAAGTGAGCTGGATTCTAGGCCTGGAAGATGGGCCACTCAGCATCCCCTCCGCGCCACCCGACGTAGCGTCGGCCCTGGGGGGGACAACCGCGACAGCAGGGAGAAGTGTGCGGCGAGTCGGGGAGATCTTCCTGGGCGGGGACGGCCAGGGACTTCCCGAGAGTCCGGAAACCTGCAGCCGCGGCTCTGCCCAGGATCCGCGGGCGGAGAAGCTCGCGGGGGAGGGAGGGCCGTGCGAGGCTCTGGGGTGGCGCCGGGGGCAGACCCGAGCTTCTGCACGCCTGCATAACCCGTCCGCGGATCCCGAGTTGGCTCTGGCTCCTTCTAGAGGAGGCCTGGACCGCACGAGGAGGCTGCGCGCCCCGCTGTGGAAGGACTGTGACTAGAACTGGGAGGCCAGGCTTGCCATGTGGAACCGAAAAGATTGCAGTCCCGACCTGAGATATTACAAATCAAAGGTTTGCCTTTCGGCCTCCTGGCAACATCAGGTGCCAGGAACTGGGCAGGGGTCTGCACGTAAGCGGGCGGCCTGGAGGTGCTCCCTGCCTCTGAGCCACGCAGTGCTGAAGTGTGGTGGAGAGCTAGACTCTAGAGTAATGAAAGTAAAGACTGAAAAATGCAAGTTCTTTATGATTCCTTAATTCCATCGCCTCTGGTCATTTAGAGCCAAGTCTGGAAAACAATGACACATTTGGTCAGAAATGTAGGCAAAAAACGTTATCCTCGTGGTGTATATGTAATAGTGAATGGTTTTTCTTTTGCTAATTTTTTTTTTAATGTTGTTGGAAAAACAGAGAGAAGGAGGGACAGAGAAAAAGATTTTTCATCTGCTAGTTCACTCCCTAAGTGGCCGCACCAGCTGAAGCTGAGCCAATCCAAAATCAGGAGCAAGGAAATTCTTCTAGGTCTCCCACATAGGTGCAGGGTCCCAAGACTTTGAGACATCCTCTACTGCTTTCCCAGGCCACAGGCAGGGAGCTGGATGGGAAATGGAGCAGCTGGGGCATGAACCCATACCTATATTGAACGCTGGCGCTTGGAGGTGGAGGATTAGCCAGTTGAGCCATTTTACCAGGCTCTTTTTGCTTGCCTTTAAAAAAAAATTATTTATTTTAAGATTTTATTTTTATTATGTTTTTATTGGAAAGGCGGATATACAGAGAGGAGAGACAGAGAGGAAGATCTCCCGTCCGATGATTCACTCCCCAAGTGAGCACAACGGCCGATGCTATGCCGATCCAAAGCCAGGAGACTCTTCCGGGTCTCCCACGTGGGTGCAGGGTCCCAAGGCTTTGGGCTGTCCTCGACTGCTTTCCCAGGCCACAAGCAGGGAGCTGGATGGGAAGTGGAGCAGCCGGGATTAGATCCGGCGCCCATAGGGGATCCCAGGCACGTACAAGGCGAGGACCTTAGCCACTAGGCCACGCTGCCAGGTCCAAACCTTGCTTTCTGTCAACTGCCACAGAACCCAAACACTTAGGTCTTCATCTACTGCCTTTGCATGCGCTTTAGCTGTGAGCCGGTTCAAAGTGGAGGAGCTAGGACTCGATCCCAGAAATTTTGTGTAGAATGCCGCTGTGTCTAGCTATGGATTAATGTGTGTACCAGGAGAACAATGTCACTACATACCTGGTGATGCAGTGCAGAATGAAATAAGCATAGCTTCTACAGCCCAGAGCATTGGATGACACGGGCAAGTTCAAACTGGGAGGTAGTTGGGGCAGTGGGCTCCTGCCAGTTCCCTGGTGGGCTGCACGGAATGGATACTGCAGGGATCCGTGTGCAGGTCTGAGGACTAGCCTTGAAGACAAAGCTATGGTGGACAGAGTTGGGGACCAAGTGCAGGGCAGGTGGATGCTGGAGACAACCTCAAACAAGAATTTAAACTCTCTTTGATGTTAAGTTTCAGAGAGCAAGATTTTTTGAGCTTCAGAAGCCCAGGCCAGTCAGAACTCAGTGATAGGAAAATGGGCCACATGGACACACCAACTGGGGCTGTTTGGGGTAGTGGTGGTGGCAGCTGGAGACAAAGCCAGCAGAGAGCACCTAGGGGGATATTAAGGATCGCTGAAGCAGCTTAAGAAGCCAACAGGACGGCGCTAAGCCATGGGAATGTGGACCTCTGGGTGACGGTGACAGGGCATGGAGATGCTAGGGGTGGAGCTGCGGCATGGCTGGGAGGCTGGGAGCATGGGAAGGGGTGCCACAGCTCTTCATGACCAAGGTAAGAAAGGACTGGGTGGCCTCAGAAGCAGGAGGATACCAGTGGGCTCAGAGACAGGGGATGGAGGCAGGAAGGGGAGGAGTGGTAGAGGGGAGGTGAATCCCGGAGCCCTGTGGCTGGAGAGCTGTGTTCCCAGCCCTGCGGGACCTGGATTTGAAGCCTAACCCTTCTGATTCTAAATTCCTGCTCGAGTCAGATGACTCAATGTATTGGGCCTCTTGCCACCCACTTGTGAGTCAATTCCTGCTTGTTGATGGTTTCTGGGAAGTGAACCTGCAGCAGATGGGAGGTTTCTCTCGGCCTCTCAGATAAGCAAACTTCTTCTTCCTCCTCTCCTTCTCCTCCTCCTCTTCTTCTTCTTCTTCTCCAGGCCAGGCAGGGCTACAACACCTGTGGGCCTCATGTGAGCTAGATCAGGGAAGGGCCAGGTTGGGCTGACTGTTCCAACTGGTGCAAGCAAAAATTAGAGTGGGTGAGGGTTGGTTGGGCTTTGCAGCAGCATCAGCTGGCAGAGGCTGGCACTGGTGGTTAATTCTGTCAAGTTAAACTCCAGAACCACCTGGAGAGTGCATAACCCAGGAGTGGGAGTGGTCCATTAGGGAAAAAGTGGGCACCGACCTCTTGAGTTACCACTCCCACTGGAGAGCATAAAAACCAGGACAGGGGCAGGGTGTCTAGACAGAAAGGCACCCACCAGCATGTGTGTGGGCTGGATAGTAGGTTGGTTGGGTTGTACTAGGCTTCAATGCCCATTGACAAGTACGAGAGCTAAATGGGATGTGGGACAGACTGAACAACTCTGTGTTATACACTGGCATTAATGGGAACCAGGGTAAGGGACAGGCTTGATGGGGGTTATGGGGAGTTGCCCCAACTAGGTTGCAGCTCCCACTGGTTTGCCTGAGGGCTGAGTGTGAAGTGGGCAGGATCGGGCTGGACTGCAACACCCATCGGTTTGTGTGGAAGACAGGGCTGAAAACAGAACTGGCCCAGCAATTGCAACGATCATCACGCGCATAAGCTGAGTGGGGCGATGGACTGTGCCAGACCCTGTACTGGCAAACTCACACAAGAATCAGGTCTGGGATCATCTCAGATGAAGTTTCTTTGGAGATCCCTCCAACTGAACTGCTGATCTCAGAACCCCAATCATGAAGAGATTATATCAGCCAGTGGATTCTGAAGGGATTTCATTGCGCTTGGAGCGGCTAGCTTGGCAGCAATTCAGAACTGTTGAACTATCAAAACAGCTTAAACAGGACCCTCAGATCATGCCTCATGTAGGGGACCTGGGATGGGCTGGAGGCTGGGTGGGACTCTTTCCTCTGTTTCTCCCCTGACCCCAGATAGAGGGGAAAAAAATGATATTTGTGTGGAAACAATGGTTATTACCCACTTTCCTGCATCCCTTGACCCTTTGTACCCTAATCAACTAAGTAAGATTATTTAAAAAAAAAAATTAAGACTGGCTATCATCAAGATGTCTAAAAGAGACGAGCGGACATTTTGGCCCAGCAGGTGATGCTGGCTTCGTGGGACATCTACTCCCCACGTCGGAGTGCTTGGCGCCAAGTGCCTTAACTGCTTCCAGTCGGCTTTCCTGCAGTGTGCCTGGGAGGCAGCAGAAGATGGCAGTTATTTAAATCCCTGCCACCCTCGTAAAAAGATCTGGAGCGAGTTCTTGGCTCCTGGCTTTGTCTTGCTCCAGCCATAACTGTTGTAGCCATTTGGGACATGAATCGGCAGGTAGAAGATTCTCTGCCTCTCATCTCCTCCATCTCTTGTATATCCCTCCGCTCTTGTCTTTGCCTTTCAGAATTAGCAAATATAATAATTTCCCGCACAGTTCGCATGTATAATAATTCTGAATTCATTGTTGCTACATTTATCTAAAAGAAATCTTTAAAAACAAACTTTTTGTCCCCTGCAGGATGACTTTGGGAATCTTCTCAAATTGCACCTTCTGTTTGAAAGTCAAGTACTTACCTCGTCAACAAAAGAGAAAGCTACAGTTTGACATTAAGGAAAACGGTGGAAAGTTTTCTCTCGTTCTAAATCCCCAGGTATTTCCAAGTCAATTAAACTACTGTATGATAAGCATGGTGCATTGAGGCGATGAGAGCCTTGGTTCTATGAATAAGCAGAGAAGAATGGCAGCAAGAGGAACTGTGGCAGTGCCCACTGGCTGGCTGTTTGGGCCAAAAGTGCGTTAGAGGCAGGAGGGCCCATCCCGGCCCCCCTCCCAGGCTGCAGGAGAATGTCCTTGAAGACAAATTACTAGAGCACAGCCAAAGACATAAATAGAATTTCAGACAGATTATTCTCAGAGGAGAAAAGCCACAGTGCACAACATTGGCAAAAATCCCGCTGTCATCACCTAGCAACGTGTCCACCCTGGAGTGACACTTGTGAGGATAACTCCGGGGAGACAGAAAGATGGACAGACCCTGTAAACTGGTCTTTGGAGTGGAGCTTGAGCGCTATGTAATGTTTATTTAAACACTGAAGGACGCTCCCTTCCCGCTCTTGAACTGTAAATCTGAGAATTTAGATAAATTCTTCGTTAGATGAAGCCTTGGAAATACTTATGGCTAATCTTTTTTTTTTTTTAACATCTCCTTGAAAGAAGTAGAACTTGAGATCCAAAGGTGTCCGGCCCCAGGTCCGCCTGTGCCGGAGATTTGCTCCTCTGTCTGGAAATGGGCTGACCCAGCCTGTCCCCTGCGAGGCCGTTGCTCTAGGGCTCGCCTACGGTGAGCCTCACCTGTTCAGCGAATCATGGGTCAAGCTGAGTGTCGGAAATGGAATGGCCATGTTTCTCTGCAGTAGAATTGTGCAGGCTTCCCGCACTCACTGGGTTCACCGTTTCTGCGGGTGGATGAATAATGCATAGTTGCTCTACTTTCTCAGTCTGCCTTGTGGGCAGAGAACTGCCAACGCCATCTCTTGGCTTTGCAAACTATCACATCTTGTGCGTGCAGTCTTTTGACAGTGTGTGTGTGTGTGTGTGTGTGTGTGTGTGTGTGTGTGTGTGTGTGTGTGTGCGTGCACATTTTGCAGTGGGACATAAACATTTTAAACATGCATGCTCGCTATTATAAAGAAGAAAACAGCTTTCTGTGTGACTACGAGGCGTGAACTGCAGATAAGTGGACAAGCCACTACAGGCCTGTATAGCTGGCATGCTACCACGTGTGTACTCAGCTGTGAATATTGTCTGTGCATAGAAGAGTTCTGGAAGGATCCAGGAAGGACAAGTTGCGACAGGTGCCTCTGAGGAATACTGATACAACAGTGGAGAATGGAAGATGCCATTATTACTGTTTCGCTTTGTAGATAGTCTGCAATGGTCCTGTGCTATGTATTCAAAACTAAATGAATAGTACAAAATGAATAAGTAATGAATAATCTTTGGATTTCCCTCTCCACCCTGGGGGGAAATAACCGAACAGGTTGACAGGGGTGTAAGTAAGGAGATTCATCATCACAGACCACTGCTTACAATAGTGACAAGTCAGAAATAACTCGTAGGGATGTTTAAGCACTTAGTGAGTATTTGTGTCCAAACACTTTAAAAACCATGGATTAAAAAAAAAAAATGTTATGTAAGAAGAAATTGCACTCTTTCTAAAGGTTTTAGAAATCTGAGAAAAATTATTACATGAAACTATCATATAATAAGACTTGTTATGGGTGAAAAGTAAACATAAATAATTTATTTAGATTTCCTTTTTGATCACTGCATAAAGATTGACTTTTTGTTTTCAGTGCACCCATGTCGTCTTAGACAATGCTGATTTCCTAAGTCAGTACCAACTGGACTCTATCCGAAAGAAGCGCGTCCACATTGCAAGTCCCGAGTTCATCTGGGACTGCATCAAAGAAAGGAGACTCTTGGATGTCAAGAACTATGAGCCTACCGAAGCCCTGGCCGTCACGCTGCCTCCTGATCAAAACACCAGGAGTTCCGGTAGGCATCACAAGCAGAATGTGTTGTGGCATGCTGTAGGAAACGTGGACTGCCCATGTGGGACTCTGAGATGCAGTTCCTGGTCCCCAGCTTCAGCCTGGCCCACATCCTTCTGTTACAGCCATTTGCGGAGGGAAACAGCAGATGGAAAGTGTGTGTGTGTGTCTGTGTGTGTGTGTGTGTGTGTCTGTGTGTCTGTGTGTGTGTGACACTTATTTTCTCTATCCCTTTCAAATAAATAAAAATCAACTTTTAGCCCTGGTGCAGTAGTCTAGTGGCTAAATCCTAGCCTAGCATCCCCTGGGATCCCATGTGGACACTGGCTCGTGTCCTAGCTGCTCCACCTCCTGCTCAGCTCCCTTCCTGTGGCCTGAAAAGGCAGTCGAGGATAGCCCAAAGCCTTGGGACCCTGCACCCACATGGGAGACCTAGAGCTCCTCCTGGCTCTTGACTTCAGATCGGCTTAGTTCCAGCCATCACAGCCATTTGGGAAGTGAACCAGTAGATGGAAGATCTTTCTGTCTCTCCTCCTCTCTGTAAAGCTTTCTAATAATAACTAAATAAATAAAGAATATTTTTTTAAATTAAGAAGTAAATTTTTTAGAAGTTATAGCTAAATAATAAAGGACAAAAGGCTAACATTTTGCCAAAGAAGTTCTTTCCGAAAGGTGGTCCACATTAAAGAAACTTTGTTCCCCCATAATCTCAGATTGCACTTTGGAATCTGTCGAGAAGAAAGCCTTTGGACATAGAAAAATGTATACCTTGTGAATCAGGTACAAAAATCAGCAAATGAAGGGGTGGGTGATTGGCTTAGCTGTTAAGGTTAAGACACCTGTATTCCACGTTAGAATACCTGGGGTTCACGCCTGGCTCCCAGTCCCGACTCCAGCACAGCTGGAGATGTAACTGGGATGGAACAGAACAGGGAAGGCTCAGATGATGTGGCCATTGCTCCCGCGGGAACCTGGACTAAGTTCTGGACTCTCCACTTTCAGGAGCTCTGTTTGTCTTTGTGTGTGTCTCTTTCATTGTGTCTCAAATCTTAAAAAAAAAAATAATTAAGCCTTTCCGACAAATACTGACTTACAGAAACGCATGATTTATGTAAGGTATCATAATACATGTTTGATAAGGTGAAGTCTCTTTAGACAAACATTTGTCCAAAAATGCTGCTACAGAGGTTGAGCTAGCTTGCTGTCCCAGGAAATGGTGGCTAAAACAGGAAGAGGCAGGCGAGTGGGCTTCGTTTACACTGAGATAACTGCTTCAGCCTTCAGAATAATCCACTGTAAGTCAGAACCGGCACTAATACACTAATACTAATATAGAACCGGCTAATCTTCAAAGTCTTGATGTTATCCGTATACATTATACAGATGCTATCTGTACACATTATAACACTATAGATCATGCTATGGTTCTTCTATGAGAAAGCCATCAGACACTTGCATAGGGAGCAGGATGTTAGCGCAGTGGTTAAAATGCAGGTGTTGTTCTTCGTGCTTCAGAGAGCTCGGGTTGGATTGCTGGCTCCAGTTCCTGGCTCCTGTCAGTGTAGACCCTTGGAGGCCGTGGGTAATGGCATCCCCCGCCCAACCCATGTAGACTTAGCCTGGTCTCAGCTCTGCTGTGGCCGTTGTGGGCACTTGGAGAATGAACCAGCAGGTGGGAATTCGCTCTCTTTCTCTGTTTCTCTCACATAAGTAAATTAATAAAAAAAAATGTTTAAAAATCTAAAATTTCACAGTACAGTTCTTCCATTTCTCTCATCGCTTCACTTGTGATGTGTGGATACCTGCAGATGCATTCTGATCCTTAGTGTTAGAAACGCATTTCCTACCTATGTTTTCCATTGTCTCCAGAAGAGAAAATACAAGTCAAAAATCATAGAGATGTCAATTTTACAAATACAGATTTATGTTAGAATTCTTCTCGTATACCCATTAAAATAGAATTATTATATGCTCTGTCTTACATTTCTTCCCTTTGATTTTTGAAATTTTTAAAAAAATGTTTATTTATTTTCATTGGCCTTGGAAGGCAGTGAGATGGAAAGAGAGACAGGCAGATCCCAATGCCAGGAACAGCCAAGGCTGGGCTGGGCAGAACCAAGGAGCTGGAACCAGTCTGAGTCTCCCGTATGAGAGGCTGAGTCCCAGGGACTTGAGCCATCACCTGCCACCCCCAGGGTGGCCAGGAGCAGGAAGCTGCATTTGGACACAGAATCAACACTCCTGAATGGGATGCGAGTGTCCAAATGGCATCTCCATTGCTGTGACAAATACCCATCCCCACTTGTGCTGTCTTTAGACTATCAATAGCTATAGCTAATTTAAGAACAGCTCTTAAATATTGCGACAGATATGCTGTTTATTCAATGGCTTAATTCCATCTGTTGTGCTAACTCATTCAAGTAAGCTTTTGAGCAGTAAACAGATGCTTCATTTGTTTTAATCCTAGAAGTGGAAACGGATGACCTGTCCCTGGATGATGTCATGAAGCAAGAAGACACTGTGGAACCCACCGAGTAATCCAGCTTCAAACCTTGGGACTCTGCAGGGTTTATGTTTCACAAATTCAAGCAGTATTATTAGCATTAGTACTAGGCTGTTGTTATGTCAGCCTATTTTGCTTGTCTAACTCTATTAAGTTTTTATTTAATATTTTTTCCTTCAGCCAGAATACTGCTGATTTCTTCTGTCATCTCAGTTTCATGAGATGTGACATAATTATTAGAGAGATTGAGTTTTCAAAGGAGAAAGTCACAGGTGATAAGGTGTGGGCGCTGGCTTACCTGTTACCTTAGCGGCCCAGTCTGTAACAACTACGCGATGCTGCTAGGGTATTTGTTATCGGTAATTTTAAAAAGAGAACAACTCCAAAATCAAAGGTGCAGATTTAGGAGAAGTCTGAGTCTGATTTTACAGAGGCGTTCACTGTGACCCAGGCAGGGGCCGGGTCGGGCCTGCGTGTCAGAAGCCTTAGGTAGGAGCCCAGTGGACAGCACGCAGTGGGGCAGCTGGCGGCAGGTGCCTCTGCTCTTGAGTAGTGCTGGACTCAGTGTTGGGTCCAGGCAAGGAACTCAGGAAAACACTTAGAATTCCTAAGAAGGCATGGGAGGCTTAAAGAATTAGGCAAGGAGATGTACAAGAAAAAAATTATGAAGCTGTGTCTAACCTGCGTCTACTTCAATGTTAACATGTGACTGTCCTGTTTTAGGTTTCATGTAGAGAATGTTGAAATTTCTCATTTTCCTCAAGATTTTGAAGTTGCAAAATATAACACCTTGGAAAAAGTAAGTCTGATTTTTTTTTTCAGAAAAGAAAAACAGAATTTTTCTGAATATTTTTCTTGTTCATTTTCTGGTTTTGAAAAATTGTGCATATCCTGAATATCATACATTCTGCAATATATATACTGATTTTTTGGTGCTAAAGAAAATGCCTACATTTAAAATTCAGTGCTTTTTATTCTGAATGTTTTTACTTTCATAGCATTGCATGCTAGTACAAGACATTTTAAATACTACAAAATATTCATATAGGATTAAGAAATAAAAGTGCTCCTCATTATTAGCAGAAATAATTATTCATTATTAGTTTCTATTCATTATTAGTTTCTCAGAAAGTTTTTAAAGACTTATAAGATTTGAAAGATAATGTGACAGAGATATGTAGAGAGAGAGATTGCCCAACTACTGATTCACTCGCCAAGGGCCACAGTGGTAGAGGCTGGCCCTGGCCAGGAGCCAAGGGCTTTATGCTGGTTTCCATTAGGGGATGCAGAGACCATGTCCTGCCCATTTTCCACCTTAGCAGGAAGTTGGACCTGAAGCAGAGTGTCCCAGACTCAAAGGCTGACATTGCCACCATGATACCACAACGTCAACTGCTCAATTCCTTGGATTTATAAGCATATGTTTGACACTAATTATTTATGCCATTTCGAATCCCTGTTCATTTGCATTAAAAATAAAATTAGCTCCTCTTTGATAAAATCACGTAAATATCCACGCTTATCTTCAGAATGATGCTCCATTTGTATTTTTGAGATAGTTGATCGAATTTGAAAATAGCACCAAAAATTTGAAAATCGTATTTAATTTGAAAATAACAATTCCTTCTGTGATAGAGAAAACAGGAAAAGCACACTATAAACACAGACATAGATGCATGCAAGGATTTCAAAACTGGATTTCACTGCAGTGTCTTTAATTCTATTCCCCACATTCTTTTATAAATATCTATAGTATAAACACAAGAGGAAATGTATTGAATATTAATAGTGACTGCATCTCTGTATTTTTTATTTTCTGCTTGTACCTCTTCATAATCATGTCTCGCGCTGTGGTTCCGATCAGCACCTCTGGGTGCTCTGCGCGGTGCGTGTTCGCTGCTTCCCTGAGCGCACACCTTGTTTTCCAGGTGGGGATCAATGGCGACCCGGAAGTGGTGGTGGTAGAGCTGTGCTGCTCTCAGGCCCCTGAGGACCCTCCGTTCCTGATTTGTGCACACTTCCTGCTGGCTGACGGCGTGCAGGTGATGTTCCTGTTCACGGCTGCTGCAGTCCATCAACCTGCTCACCTTTGTTTTGTATCTGCGGTTAGCTCAAGGTGGTGCAGCAAGCAGACAGGCTGTGAGCGCTCAGACAACAGGCGCGTGTTCGTCTCAGGCTGCTGGTCCTAGATGGCATGCAGCAGGGTTGATTTCCTGCAGGGCTCCTCACGTGCTCCTCTGTCAAAGTCTTCTCATAAGAACACCCGTCATGTTGGATCAGTTCCTGCCTCTTGACCTTGTTTAACTTAATTGCCACTTTGAAAAATGTATTTATTTGAAAAGCGGGGTTACACAGTGAAGGATCTTGCATCTCCTGTTTCACTCCCCAAATGGTGGTCATTGCTAGGACTGGGCCAGACCACACCAGGAACTTGGAACTCCATCCGGGAGTCCAAGAAATTGGCCTGACTCCCACTGCTTTCCCAGGGTCATCAGCAGGAAGCTGCAGCAGAAGTGGAGCAGCCAGAACTAGAATCAGCTCTCTTATGGCGTAATGGCTTCACGGGTGAGCACTCAGCAGGCAGTGGCTTAGCCTCCTGTATGCTAATGCCAGACCCACTTAATTCCTTCTTTTTAAAAATAATTTAAGATTTATTTATTTTTATTGCAAAGTCAGATATACAGAGAGGAGGAGAGACAGAAAGGAAGATTTTCCATCTGATTGCTCACTCCCCAAGCAGCTGCAATGGCTGAAGCTGGGCCAGTCCGAAGCCAGGAGCCTGGAGCCTCTTCCGGGTCTCCCACACGGGTGCAGGGTCCCAAGGCTTTGGGCCATCCTTGACTGCTTTCCCAGGCCACAAGCAGGGAGCTGGATGGGAAGTAGGGTCGCTGGGATTAGAACCGGCACCCACATGGGATCCTGACACGTTCAAGGCGAGGACTTTAGTGGCTAGGCCACGCAGCCGGGCCACACTTCATTACTTCTTAAAGACTGTTTATATATACAGTCCCATTCTGAAGTGCTGGGGTAGGTGGGCACCATTCAGCTCATAACACCTGGTAAGTAGTTCAGCAGAGTAGAAATAGGTTCCCTTTGGAGTGATGGAGGGAGAAGGGGTAGTTGCCCAGACCAGAGCGACGTAGACAGGGAGAGTATTTACTGAGTGGAAGACATGGGGTTTCTGCTCTCGTTCCACACCACTTATGGGACATTTTCCTAAACAATCCCTTAGCACGCTGCAGCAAGCACCTGCCATGTAGTCAGAATCTGTTACAGCTGAGACCCAAAGCTAGAACTTTGACTCCAAAAACTCACCACTTGGATGGAAGCAGCACACGTGTCTTTGCAACCTACTGTGACAGCTCTGATATTTAAATGTGTCTAAAGCTTCAAGGATTGGGGTCTCAGGGTCCTGGAAATGGCACTGGAGGCGGTACAAGGGTCATGACCCTTGCTCTAGGTCAACATTAACTCAAGAGCACAGTTTCAATCACAAGTATGAGACCAAAGGAAGTCAGTTAAGGCCTACAGTTCAAATTAAATGTTATGAGATCCACCAGTGGGTTTTGTAAGCAGAACACTCAGTCGCTTGTCAGTAGCATTGGAAGTGTATTGCTGGGCCCGCTCTCCAGATGTCAACTCGCTTCAAGGCCAGGATGCCCAGGTGGAGACAGGACCACGTGGCTGACAGATCCCATTTCTCTCCCAACAGCAGCTTTGGTTGCAGCTGCCGCCAAGGGAAGTGCCTGTTCCGTGGGTGATCTCCGGGAGGGAGCCCGAAGTGTGGGGCTCCCCTGTTCTCCCACCACCTCTCAGTGCCTGCTCAGTGTAGCTGTGAGAGGCCACTGTTAGCTAAGCAGTGTTGTCATATCACAGCTGACATTCTGTTGCCATCATGTGTCCCTGCAAAGAGCGAGAAAGTTAACCGGATGTCAGATGCATCCAGGAAACAGGGTTTGCTAAGTCTGAACCAAAAATGTACACTAGATTTAGTTGGGTTAAAAAAAAAAAAAAACAGTGAAAATCAAGCTGAACGTTGTGATGGGAGGTTATGATTTTTCTCCCATCCCTCCAGGGTGCCTTCTTCCCTTAGCAAGCCAGTCTAGGACTCTCCGTAGGTGAGCCTGTCACCTTATAGGAATGACCTCGTTTTTTTCTTTCTTTTTCATTTCCAGCTGCTCATTGGTCATTCAGTAACATGTTATTTAACTTCATGTTACTGTAAATTTCCTATTTTTCCATCTGTTGTTAATTTTGTTTTATGACTTTTCATCTAACGGGAGGTATTGTAACTGTATAATAGGGACCATCATATCCAGATGTGAAGATACAATGCAGTATGCATCTCTACTTCCAAATCAAAGATGGACTCCCAGTGAAACTGCTAAATATACCTTGACAACTGTGTGCTAGATCTTCTGCCATTGTCCATACCTACAATCTCAGGATACACTTAAATAACACGACGACAGATTTAGGACTGTGAAGGACTATACTAGTGTAATAATATGGGGAAAATCAGTGGCGGGGGAGGAGGGAGCTTGAGGAAGAGGGAAGAGAAATCCCAGAGCCTATGGTGGAACTGAACTATAAAATAATAAAAAGAAGGCCCAGCATGGTAGCCTAGTAGCTAAAGTCCTCACGTTGCGAGCGTGTCAGGATCCCATATGGCCACCCGTTGTAATCCCAGCATCCCCACTTCCCACCAAGCTCCCTGCTTGTGGCTGGGAAAGCAGTCAAGGATGGCCTAAAAAACCTTAGGATCCTACACCTGCGTGGCAGACCCAGAAGAGGCTCCAGGCTCCTGGCTTCACATCAGCTTAGCTTCGGCCATTGCTGTCACTCGGGGAGTGATTCAACAGATGGAAGATCTTCCTTTCTGTCTCTCCTCCTCTCTGTATATCTGCCTTTCCAATAAAAATAAAATAAATCTTTTTAAAAAGAAGTAAGAAGAAGAAAAAAAGAAGTAATCTTTTCTTAAGGCCTTCTGCAGAAGAAAGTTTTCAAGCTTGCCCTTTGAACAGAATTGTGTTGGGGCAGGCATCTGGTGTTGTGAGCGACGTAGTCCTGAGGAACCCACATTCCACAACCAGATGCCTTAGTTCAAGTCTTGGTTTCTCTTCCCAACCCAGTGGCCTACTAAGAGCACCCTGGATAACCCAAGCAGTTCCATTCCTCTGCGCACACGGGAGTCCTGGATGGTGATCCGGGCTCTTGGCTTCTTTGGCTGTTGAACGCATTTGCAGAGTTAATCAACACATGGAAATCTGTCAGTTTCCATCTCTCCCTTTCTCTCTGCCTGTCAAATGAATAAAAATAATTAAAAAAAAAACATTTTGATGGAAATATTTCAAAATTATGATACACTCTACCTACTTAAAAATAATTTTGTGTGTGTGTTTATTTTCAGTGTATGTAAAAAGCCCAGAGGCAGGGAGAGAGAGAGACAAAGTGACAGAGATCTTCCGTCCACTGCTTCACTCCCCAGTGTCAAAATATCTGAGGCTGGGCCAGGCTGAAGTCAGGAGCAAGGAACTCTATCCAGCTCTCCCACACGGACAGATGAGACCCATGACCTTGAGCTCTCACCTGCTGCCTCCTGCGATGTGCATTGGCAGGTCTTTACATTGAACACAAAGGATCTGAGACTTGAACTTGGATGCTGCAGTGTGACAGGCGATAGCCCGAGCAGTGGCAATGATCGTGCCAGACTTCAAAGCTAGAATAGTGGGTAAAATGAGGGTTCTAAATGATCATTGGAGTGACTCCAAGGACTCAGATGGCCTTTTGTGTCTGCTGTTCTTCACTGCTTCCAGGTTTTAGGCTGTTACCCAAGACCTGAACATTGAAGAAACCCCTTCACAGTACAGATCTAATGTGTCTTTCACCACGTAGTAGGTGTCCGTTAAAATGGATGTGTTAATAAGTTGCTGTGTACTGTAATTCACAGACTAGAAGACAGTTCGCTGTCAAGAAAACCGCTGCAGATGCAAGCGAATACTATGCAAATTACATTGAAGAACTGAAGAAGCAAGGATTTCTGCTCAGGGAACACTTCACACTCCAAGCCACCCAATTAGCATCTGAAAAACTGCAAGCCGTAAGATTGATTTGTGCATGTTATTTTGTGTTGCTGACTTAATGTTTTGAGACGAATGTTTTCTTTCTTACACTAAAAAGACTGGGAGGACAGAAAAGCAGGATTTAGGAAAAGGGTAAGTGACCGCATAGAAAGGTGTGGAGCCATGAGCAAGAATCGTCAGCCCTGACTGCCTGAGCTTAATGGCAGTCACAGACTTGGAGCTCATGAGGGGAAAGGCAAAGGCAGGCAGAAAAATTGCAGGAGAATAGAGATGATGATGGGACGGGTATCACAGATTCGGAAAAGGTGCATGGAGGAAATGGCGGGAGGGAAATTACAGTGACCTGGCATCTTGCAAAATATCTGAGGGCCTCAACGCCACCACGCTGGGAACCCTGGAGGGCCACAGTCCAGCTGTATCCACACGGTCACACCAGGCCGAGGTCAACAACTCACCTCTGCTCACTGGCCCAGGTGTGTTTTCATCCACTCACACGCGATGCCTGGTTGATTGTGAGTCATTCTTGTGTCGCCATTGCAGCTGCTTTTGGAGGAGGTCATCGGTGCCGGCCCTCTGAGCCCGGAGGTGAGCGACTTGGTGGAGTTGTTGTGGTCGGAAGTTCTGGGCCACCTAGAGCACACGCTGCTCAAGCCCGTGAACAGCATCAGCCTCAACGATGTAAGTGCAGTGGGTCTTAGAGACACAACAGGATAAGCTACTGCTTGGATTCTAGCGCTTATGTATGCATGCTGGGCAAGGTGCTCCAAGCTCCCCCAGGAAACCAGACAGCCCCGTCTGGCATTATCAGCAGCAGGCTGATCAAAAATCAGCCTTCAGTGTGGGCTAATTAGGAGGCCAAGACACTTGAGCTAGGCCTGTTGGCCATGGGTGGTCTTGGTCCAAGTTAGAGCCCTATGCATTAATGTGCGTCATAGTCTCATATCTTCTGAGCGTGTTTTTTTTTAAAGATTTGTTTTATTTTTATTGGGAAGGCAGATATACAGAGAGGAGAGACAGAGAGGAAGATCTTCCATCCGATGATTCACTCCCCAAGTGAGCGCAACAGCCGATGCTATGCCAATCTGAAGCCAGGAGCCTCTTCCAGGTCTCCCATGTGGGTGCAGGGTCCCAAAGCTTTGGGCCGTCGTCGACTGCTTTCCTGGGCCACAGGCAGGGAGCTGGATGGGAAGCGGGGCTGCCGGGATTAGAACCAGCGCCCATATGGGATCCCGGGTGTGCAAGACAAGGACCTTAACCACTGCGCCACCACACCGGGCCCTGTTTTTTTTTTTATGATGTTTACATAGTTGACAAGGATGCATGCCCATGGGGACCACTGATTAGGCTGGGAAAGGTTTCAGAATAGGAAAAGTGGGTGAGACAATTGTTTCCATTTTCTTTTTCTTCTTCCCATATCTAGGGGGAGGGGTTAGAGGGTCACATCCAGCCTCCTAACCGCATTCTAGCCAGCAATCTAACCTGGCAATGTGGGACGGCCACTCAATGTCATCCCAGGGTCACTGATGTGGAGCGTGTTCCGAGGGGTCTGAGCAAGTGGTTCCAGTAGTTCTGAGGTGTTGTTCATTTCATTGCTCCAAGCTTGAGGAAATCCTTCCAAGCTCCACTGGCTGACATAGTCCACTTCAGAGTCTCAGTTCACCCAGATGCTTGCTATCCAAGCTTGGCCAGCAGAGTTGTCCCATTTGTCCTGCCCTCTATCGCCTGCCATGTCACTGGCTGTGCTCTGCAAGCCTCAGTGATCTGTCAGATACCCTCCTGTGCATCTGGGCACGCCGTCCAGTGCACAGCCTTCAGCAAGCAAGCAGCCCCAGTTATGACACCTGCACTCCGTGATCAGAGCACAGATCCTGTGGTTGGAGTTCTGAGTCCAGTGGTCCAGTTGTGGAGGTATCCAAAGCAACCTCACCAGAGGTGATCCCAGCCCTGACTCCTGTGTGTGCCAGCCAGTGTGGAGTCTGGCTCAGCCTGTCAGCTGCATCAACCCACACATACACTGGTGTTTGTAGTTGCTGACATGGTCAGTCCTGTCCCCAGGCCTATCTCATAGGCAAAGCAATGGATGCTCCTGCCCAGGCCAACCCTGCCCACCATACACGCAGCCCACCATACACGCAGCCCTAACCCACGCTAGTGAGAACCACGGCCCAGTCAGAGTGACTCCCAATAACCCACACTAGGCCCTCAGCCATGGTTCCTGAGCATGGCAGTATGTGCAGTAGACTGATCCAGTCTGTCTCACATCCCTTTTGACTTTCATAGACACCATTGGGTGCTGCAGCCTAATTCAGCCCAAGTTACTGCACTGTTCAGCCCACTCTCATGCTGGTGGATGCCACCACCTGTCTAGTCAGTGCTGCCCCCAGTCCTGGTTCTCACACTCACTGGTGGGAGCTGCAGCCCCTCAGGGGGTGCCCATAGTTTACCCACTAGGCCTACTCCCAGCCCCAGATCTTGCATTTTCCAGGTGGTTCTGTGGTCTAGAGGGACAGGACTTGCCCCCATTCCCTGCACTTGCCAGCTGATGCTCAGGCAAAGCTCAGTCAACTTGCATTTACTCTGGCTCCTGCATTAGTCACTTAGCTAAGCCTGGCTCTCCCCCTAACCCAGCTCACATGGAGGCCAGTGGGCTTTGTATCCCTGCCCAGCCTGGTCTGCCCCCAGTCCTAGCTCTCACACTTACCAGTATGAGCACTGACCCAGCAGGGGAGCTCCTGTAGCCCCACTACTGGGCTCTTCCCCTTCCCCCCTCCCTCCTGCCTCAGTGTTTTACATATGCTAGTGTGTTCTGTAGTCCAGTCTGGCCTGGTTCAGCCTAGCCTGTACCTTCTCATGCTGATAAATGCTTCATCTTAACCCAGCCCATTCAGTCCCCAGTCTCAGCACTAATGTGAACTGGCTGGTGCTGCGGCCCAACCAGCCTGTCACATACCCCATCCTGGTTCTCACATCTGCCAGTGGGTGCTGTGAACTGGCATAGCCTGGCCCACCCCCAGACCTGAGCCACATGTATGGTGGTGGGTACTATAACCTGGCCTGATCTGGGCTGCTCCCAGCTGAGATTCTTGCACTCACCAGCAGGGACTATATCCTGACCGAGGAGTTCCCATAGCTCCTCTGTCAGGTCGCCTCCCAGTTGGAGATCTTGCCTGTGTTGGTGGGTTCTTTTTCCAGCCTGACTTGTCCCACATCCTGTCCTGGCAGGTATGGCAACATTGCCTGACTGGCCCATACCCATTCTGGCTCTTAACATTGAATATTACAGCACAGCACTGCCTGGTCCACCACCCGACTCAGCTCTTACATGGTTCAACAGATTCCAAGACCTAGCCTAGCTGTCCTACACCCACCCTGGCTCCTTCTGAGTGTTTTGGATAAGGCAGGTGCACTTGCAGTCCCCCAGAAAGCGTGCTTCACTCTTTAGTGTGTTCAATTGCTAGTGAAAGAGCATCTCCCTTGTGAGGCACCTTGTGCATCTGCAATGTTATATGAAGGCAGTACAATTTTGCTCTGTAGGTTTAAACTCTTTTATTTGGGGAACAAATGTTTCCTTAGGTAACAAGCATGAAGCTCTTGTGTAATAAGTAATGTGATCTGTGGATTTTGTTCTTGATTTGATATGATAGCTTTCCACATTTCCCATGGAAAAAGCCAATCTCCTATAGCTGTACCGGTTTTCCCTTCTCTGTGTGTAAATCGGTGTTCTTCAAAAGCTTCATGGGAAAACTGGGAAGAGATTTTCAGTGTGTTTCCCCAGACCAATTTTACTGAATATGTTGAAGTACTCTTGTGTATGTATGTATACAGATTCACCACATACAGAAACAGGCTGCCTACGAGCCCAGTTCTGGAGGAATCAGGACAAGTGAGATGTGTCTGCAGTCCAGGTGTTCTCAGCTTGCCAACGGCTGATGGTACATCGCAGAGCGGTGATGCACCCGCCAGCTGTGTTTGAGATGGTTATATATGTGCCTTCACTTACGACCATCAAGATTTCATTTTAATAAACACATTTAACTTCTCTTAAAGGTGAGCAAGGCAGAGGGAATTCTCCTTCTAGCAAAGTCTGCACTGAAGAATGGAGAAACAGCACAGCACTTGCGAAAGGTGGTTGCTGAATTCTACAGATTAATACCTCACAAAGCCCCAGGCCCCGAAGAAGTCAACCTGAAGCTCTTGGCTAAGGAGGAAGACCTATGCCAGGTAAAACTCTGAAATAGGAAATTCAATTTAAGCTATGCTTGGGAGTAGACCAATCTTTAAAAATATGTACTTATTTATTGGAAAGGCAGATATACACAGAGAGAAGGAGAGACAGAGAGGAAGATCTTCGGTCCACTGGTTCACTCCCCAAATGGTCACACCGGCCAGAGCTGAGCCAATCCAAAGCCAGGAGCCAGAAGCTTTTTTGTCTTTCACTTAGGTGCAGGCTACCAAGGCTTTAGGCCATCCTCTACTGCTTTCTCAGGCCACAAGCAGGAAGCTGAATGGAAGTAGAATAGCTGGGATACGAACCAGTATCCATATGGGATGCCAGCACTTGGAGGTGGATGGTTAGCCGATTGAGTCATCACTCACAGGGTCCAATGTGCTCTCAATTCTTTTCTTTCTCTCTTTATTTTTTTAAAATACAACTTGACTTTTCCAAATATACGATTCATTGGACCCATTCATGCATCTTTACTCTTGGTATTTCTGGTGTTTCTTGAGCTCTGTGCTTTGCAACCAGTTTAATAAGTTCTTTACTCAGGAGCTCCTGCCGGGCTGCCCTGGCCAGGGACTCTCAGATCTTGAGTCTCTCCAAGACCACAGCAGGCATGATGAGCTTGTAGTTGGGACTTTCTTGTGGAGTTTGTCCCATGTGACTTTGTCAAACAGAAACAGATTGTCGAGCTTGCCCTGAACTTTCCCTTTGGACCACTTCCTCTTGGCATTGTCCACCCCTCCTCCCCCCCACCCCCGTTTGTTCACAGGGTCCTTATGCTTCTTGGCTGGCTTCCTGGCATCTTTCTTTTTCTTGGTGTCCTTGAATGGCATGGCGAGGTGCAAGGAGCGTCGGCGACCACCTAGGTCTTGCAAGATGTTGGACCTTTGGGTTCTTGGGGAAGTTTTCTAATGTAGATTCCTCACACATACAAATGCGGGAATCTGTTTAGGATCTCTGCATTGTGAAAATAATTTTCCAGACCAATAGATGAAGTAAGATTTTTTTTCTACAGAAGAAAACTGCCATGGGCTTCAACCCCAAGGACTTTAGGACAATGAGATGTGGGGTGGTTGATGGCCCAGTTGATGGCCCAGTTGACTCCTCGGGTTGGCTCAATGCCTTTCCCCTCCCAGCCTGCCTCCCTCACGCTCAGAGTAGAGCTAAAGATGTTTCCAGCATCCCATCTGGATTCTTTCCTTTTCTGTCTCAGAAAGTCTCCTGCAATTGTGTGCATCTCTGGTAGGACCTGAGTCGCATGGGCTGCCCTGGGGACGGGAGTGGATTACTGGGCCACATCAGAAGTAGGCCACCTGCCCTGAGCTCTTTCAGTAGAGAGGAAGCGGCTGCACGCTGGCCTTGCAGCTCCTGATAAGGCTGAAGTCACACTCAGGCCCCTTCTGTGTGGGAACGGCCTGGGGCAGGTTAGGGAATCGAGAATTGCAGTTCCAGAGTTTGTAGATGTGGAACACTGCATGTTTGCAGCAAATGATGGCTTCGGACAGATGTTCAGAGGAGTCAGAAGTTCAAAACTAGCAAAAATAATCACCAAGCAAGCAGATAAAGACCCCTTCCTAAGAAATAGAATCTCATGGTCGGGGTTGCTCAGAGGAAACATGGCACTCAGTCAAATACGGTTTCTGAAGTTTGATATATATTTTTTTATTTTGTTATTTGAAGAGTTGAGTTATGGAGAGAAGGAGAAACAGATCTTCCATCTGCTACTTTACTCCCCAAATGGCCACAATCACTGTAGCTGAGATGGATTGGAAGTGGAGCCAGAGATTTGAACCAGCACCCATGTGGGATGCCAGCACTGCAGATGGAAGATTAGCCTACTACACCATGGTGCTGGTCTCCCAGATTACTTTTTATGATTATTTTTTTAATATGTATTTACTTATTCAAAAGGCAGGGTGACACACAGAGATAAAGATGGAAAAAAAAGCAGATCCACTGATCCCCAAATGGCTACAATAGCCAATCTGGGCCAGGCTGAAATGAGAAGCCTGGAACGCCATCCTGATCGCCACACGGGTGGCAAGGACCAAGCCCCTGGACCATCCTTAACTGCTTCCCGAGGCACGTTAACGAGAAGCTAGGATTGAAACTGGCCTGCTTGTTACAGGATATCGGCATTACATCTAACCTGCCACACGACAATGCCAACCCTTCCAAACTTTTTAGTTTGAAATTGTATTTTGAATAGATTAAAATATCTATATGATTCAGAAGTCAAAATGATGTTAAAAAGATATGCTCAGAGAAATCTCTGATCCACTCTGTCCCCTGCAACCATCTCCTTTCCATAACACGGAACCATTTTGTTTTGTTGCCTTTGCAGAGTTTATTTTTGCAAATAATTATATAAATATGTACAGGTTGAGAATCCCTTATCTACAATGCTTAGAACCAGAAGTATTACATTTCAGATTTTTTTCAGGGTTTGCATATATGTGAATGCATACTTGTAATGTTTTTGCATAAATGAAATGAGACATGAGAATTGGATCCAAGTAAAAACAGAAAATTCATTTGTTCCCTATAAAACTTATGTACATAGCCAGAAGATAATTTATTTCTTTGTTTTTTTTTCTTTTTTCCTTTTTTTTTTCTTTTTCAGAGGGTAATTTAATATAATATTGTTATGTACCTGCTTCTTGAGTGGGACTCATCCTATGAGATCAAGTAGGGAATGCCAGTGCTTCGGTCCACTTTAGATTTAGGATTTTCAGGTTCGAGGTGTTAGTCTGCGTTCTCGTCATGCTTGCACAGCCGTAGGTGACATAGGTCAGTCCCTCAGGACACACGGTTAACACAAGATGGATGAGGTACTGCCAGCACAACTGGCAGACTTTCGCAGGACACCTGAGCATGCAAAATAATGACAAAAATATGGTATAAGAAATCAATAAGCCAATAACAGGCTTCCGTTCATCATCCCGTATGGTGTGCTGCTGACGTGACGTGTGCTGGCGGTGCTGAAGGCGTGTTTACACCAGCATCTGCAACACCCCGTCCTGTGACGTCATGACGTGACGTGTGCTGGCGGTGCTGAAGGCGTGTTTACACCAGCATCTGCAACACCCCGTCCTGTGACGTCATGACGTGACGTGTGCTGGCGGTGCTGAAGGCGTGTTTATACCAGCATCTCCAACACCCCGTCCTGTGACGTCATGACGTGACGTGTGCTGGCGGTGCTGAAGGCGTGTTTACACCAGCATCTGCAACACCCCGTCCTGTGACGTCATGACGTGACGTGTGCTGGCGGTGCTGAAGGCGTGTTTACACCAGCATCTGCAACACCCCGTCCTGTGACGTCATGACGTGACGTGTGCTGGCGGTGCTGAAGGCGTGTTTACACCAGCATCTGCAACACCCCGTCCTGTGACGTCATGACGTGACGTGTGCTGGCGGTGCTGAAGGCGTGTTTATACCAGCATCTCCAACACCCCGTCCTGTGACGTCATGACGTGACGTGTGCTGGCGGTGCTGAAGGCGTGTTTATACCAGCATCTGCAACACCCCGTCCTGTGACGTCATGACGTGACGTGTGCTGGCGGTGCTGAAGGCGTGTTTACACCAGCATCTGCAACACCCCGTCCTGTGACGTCATGACGTGACGTGTGCTGGCGGTGCTGAAGGCGTGTTTACACCAGCATCTGCAACACCCCGTCCTGTGACGTCATGACGTGACGTGTGCTGACGGTGCTGAAGGCGTGTTTACACCAGCATCTCCAACACCCCGTCCTGTGACGTCATGACGTGACGTGTGCTGGCGGTGCTGAAGGCGTGTTTATACCAGCATCTGCAACACCCCGTCCTGTGACGTCATGACGTGACGTGTGCTGGCGGTGCTGAAGGCGTGTTTACACCGGCGTCTCCAACACCTCGTCCCGTGACGTCACGGTAGTCATAGCCTCTGGACGACAGGGAGGTTGCATGTCCTGTAGGATCTCACAGCTCCCCCGTCATGTGTGTGGTCGGCTGTGTAGCTCAGGCCCGCACACCCGGAGTACAGAACACAGCGCATTCTCCAATAACCTGAAATAGATCAGAAATCTACTAATCCTGAATCGCATTTATTCACTGTCCCTGCTCACCGACGGACCTGAAACAATTGATTTCAGTTCTCAAACTCTCACTTATCTGCATGATAGTTCTTCAAAAAGCGAAAATGGATTTAAATTTTATTTTGCTACAAAATGGCTTTTGAAATCTGTCAATAGTCTCTCCTTCGATGTATTTTCCATGAACTTTTTGACTTTTTTTTTTTTTGAGCAATGAGGATAATAAGCTACTTTGGTGTTGTGGTGAGGACAAATAAATGCCGTGATGACCAATATCGTGGCCTACAGGGAACCCCGATGGTTCTCCCAGCTTCCGCCCTGCCCGGGCAACTGAAGCAGCAGGTGGAACACATCTCCCTATCTCTCCTCTGTCACTCTGCCTTTCAAATATTTAAAACTAAAGTGAATAGTGTATTTATATCTTGTTAACAATAATATGCTAGATTCGTGTTTGTATTATTAACATTGTATACTGTGCAATCAGATAGCGAACTTTGTTAACTTTAATACAGTACAAACAGCAAACATTGATGTAAAGCTTTGGGGAAAAAAAATGACTTTCCCATTCTTTTTGAGAACATATCAATAGAATATAAATATTCATGTTTTGATATGTATTGAGTCTGATGTCTGTGTACCGTTTCCACCCACAGCTAATAAGAGACATGGTTAATGTCTGTGAAACTAATTTTTCCAAACCCAACCCACCATCTCTTGCCAAATACCGAGCTTTGAGGTGCAAAATTGAGCACGTTGAACAGAATACTGAAGAGTTTCTTAGCATTAAAAAGGAGATACTAAAGAACAATCACGGGTAAGCCAAAAGGAAACATCTCAGAACCTTCTTAATTTTATTATTATTACTTTTTTAAAGATTGGTTTATTTTTATCAGCCAGGCAGATTTATCAGGAAAATGAGAGCAGAAAGAACTTGGATCCGCTGGTTCACTCCCGAGGTGACTGCAACGACCAGAGCTGAGAGACAGAGAGAAGGAGGGGTGGAGGGTTGGGGGGAGGGGGAGAGAGCGAGATCTTTCTGGTCCACTCCCCAGGTGGCCACAGGACTGGGGCAGGCTGAAGGCAGAGCCAGGGCATCATCCAGGCCCAAGCACTGTGCTGTCTTCGCATTTGTGCTGCTTTTCTCAGACCCTTGTCAAGGAGATGGATCCGAAGTGCAGCAGACAGGACACAAACGGGCACTTCATGGGATGCCCGCATTGCAAGTGGCACGGCTTCACCAACCGTGCTGCAATGCCAGCCTCCCATCTGGGTGTTTTTTTGTTTTTTGTTTTTTGTTTTTGTTGTTGTTGTTGTTGTTGTTTAGCATATATGCTGCCGAACAAGTGCTCCTTCCCACTTTATTCTTATATGTGAGTGGAACTGTACACTGTATATTATGTATTTGACAAGATTTGGGATTAGCCTATGTATAAAATGTTAAACTTAACTTAAACGTTTTCTTTTACCGTAAGCTCAGTAAGTTGGTGTTTTTCAGAACAGACGTTTGGCCCAGTAGATAAGATGCCTGCCTCCCACATTGGGGTACCTGGGGTCCCTTCTAGCTCCGGCTCCTGATTCCAGATTCTTCGTAGTGTATATCCCAGGGAACAGAAGATGAGCCAAGTGTCTGAGTTCTTGCCAAACCCATGGAGAGACCCAGATGGAGTTCCTGGCTCCTGGTGGCAGTCCATCCTCGGGCATCGGGCATTTAGGGCCTGGACCAGAGTTTGAGAGGTCTCTCCTTCTGTCCCTCAAATCAACACGTAAAAGGTTTTCAGTAGGAAACCCTTTCTAGGCTGTGTTGTAAGTTCTTGATTCAGCTTTCTGACAATAGGCGTTTACCTTGACAATCATGATCTTGTGTGTCTTTTGCTTCTAAATATGTCATCTCAAGGTTTTCCTTCTGTTTCTTGCAGGAAACATCGTGTGAACATCTTGCAGATGTTTCGAGTCGGCAGAGTGAATGAAACCACCGAATTTCTCAGCAAACTGGGCAACGTGAGGCTCCTGTTACACGGATCTCCAGTCCGTAACCTCATAGGAATCCTGTCCCGGTACGAGCAGCCTCCCGTGGGTGACACGTTTTGTTTTCCCCTAGTTTTTCTAGAATTTTCTAAATTCTCAGCCAGCCGACTTCTAGAGAAAATTAAACACCTCATCACTAAGCATATCCTTTAAATGGTGTAGTTCTTGCTTTTTAAAGTTGTGTTGTGTGGGTATGAACTGCCCCTGGAAGACTGTATCGTATGACGACAAGTGATTGTGTATTGCAAGGCTCTTCATGTGTCACTAATCTGAGAACTGCCCAGTATTGAAAGAGATAATTCTAGAAATTAGAGTACCTATATGTGAGTTTCCAAATCAAAACATAACTCTAGTTTTCTGTTGACTTAAGATTAATGCTAAAACTAAGCTTATGAGTAAAGGGGGGAATAAGATTAAATTTGATCCTCTAAGTACTTTAAAAAAAACGAACAGGCCCGGCAGTGTGGCCTAGCAGCTAAAGTCCTCGTCTTGAAAGCCCTGGGATCCCATACGGGCACCTGTTCTAATTCCAGCAGCCCTGCTTCCCATCAAGCTCCCTGCTTGTGGCCTGGGAAAGCCATCGAGGACAGCCCAGAGCCACAGGACCCTGCACCCACATGGGAGAACAGGAAGTTCCTGGCTCCTGGCTTCAGTTCAGCTCACCACCGGCCGCTGCGGTCACTTGGGAAGTGAATCATCCAATGAAATATCTTCCTCTCTGTCTCTCCTCCTCTATGTATATCTGACTTTCAAAAAAATAAAGAAAGAAAAATAAATAAATACAAGATCCACCTGGAAAAAAAACTTAAACTGCTGTCACTTAAGATGCTTAAGCCCGTACAGGGTGTGTGGTTTGAGCCCAGCTAGCCAGCTGCCTGCTGATGGAGGCAGCGGATGATGGTTCTAGCACCTGCATCCCTGCTCCCCATGGAGGAGCTGGCTTCAGCTCAGCCAGCCTGGCTCCTGGAGGCATCTGAGGAGCGAATCAGCACATGGAAAATCTCTGTCTACCTCTCGCTGTGTCACTCTTTCAAATAAATAAATCTTTTTTAAAAAGAACAAGCAAACAAAAAATGCTGTTGATGGACTCAAAAGATATTTGTGTTCATCTGAAGGATGCCAATTCTTTTCAAATTAATCAATACATTTTGAAAGAAGTTAGAAGCAGATTAAACTTGCACTTGCAACTCCGCCACCCCATCTCAGAGGGCTGTTGGAAGTCCTGGCTTCTTGGCTTATGACCCAGCTTCCTGCTTGTGCGTGTAAGGCAGCAGAGGAGGGCTGAGTGCCTGGGCCCTTATCATCACATGGAAGACCCGGAAGGAGTTTCCGGCTCCTGACGTTGGTCTGGCACAGACTATTATGGCCATAGATGGCATAAACCAACAAATTAAAGCTATCTCTCTCTCTCTGCTATTCTGCTTTTGAAAGAAGTAAATATATCCTTAAGAAACTGAACAAAAAATGAGAAGAGATTTTAACTACATATATTTAAAAAAAATTTTTGGCATTACCATGATAATTTTGAAGGTGAAGAATAATGACAGAGAATTAAACAATTGGTATTAAACCTATTATAAAACTACATGAATTAAGTTCCCAGAATGATGGTTAAATAACTAAATCCTCACCCTGCCGAGACCCAATCAGAGCACTAGTTCGTGTCCCAGCTACTCCACTTCCCATCCAGCCCACTGCTTGTGGCCTGGGCAACAGTAGAGGATGAGCCCAAAGCCTTAGGCACCTGCACCTGCCTGGGAGATGTGGAAGAAGCTTGTGGGTCCTGGTTTTGGATCGGCTCAGAGCCAATTGTTGTGGCCACTTGGGAAGTGAGCCAACAGACGGAAGATCTTCCTCTCTGTCTCTCTTCCTCTCTATAAATCTGACATTTCAGTATAATTAAATAAAAATGTTCAGGCTTATTTATTTTTATTGGACAGTCAGATATACAGGCTTTCCCAGGCCACAAGCAGGGAGCTGGATGGGAAGTGGAGACACCAACACAAACCAGCACCCATATGAGATCCTGGGTGAAAAAGGCGAGGACTTTTTTAGCCACCAGTCTACTGCACTGGTAGACTTTTATTTAAAAGATTAAACAAATCATTTTTTAAAAGATTTATTTTTATTATTTTTTTTTATTGGAAAGGCGTATATACAGAGAGGAGAGACAGAGAGGAAGATCTTCCGTCCGATGATTCACTCCCCAAGTGAGCGCAATGGCCGATGCTATGCCAAACCGAGGCCAGGAGCCTCTTCCGGGTCTCCCACGCGGGTGCAGGGTCCCAAAGCTTTGGGCCGTCCTCGACTGCTTTCCTGGGCCACAGGCAGGGAGCTGGAAGGGAAGCGGGGCTGCCGGGATAGAACCAGCGCCCATATGGGATCCCGGGCGTGCAAGGCGAGGACCTTAACCACTTGCGCCACCGTGCTGGGCCCTAAACAAATCTTTTAAAGAAAAAAAAAAATAAGCTGTAGTCAGAAGCTGGATCCATCTATCAAACCCAAGTACTCTGATGTCGGGTGCTGGTGTCTTGGTTTTTTTTTTTTTCCTTCTAAAGATTTATTCATTTTTATTGCAAAGGCAAATATACAGAAAGGAGGAGAGACAGAGAGGAAGATCTTCCATCCAATAGTTCACTTCCCAAGTGAGCTGCAACAGCTGTAGCTGAGCCAATCCGAAGTCAGGAGCCTGGAGTGTCTTTCCAGTCTCCCACGTGGGTGCAGGGTCCCAAGGCTTTGGGCTGTCCTCGACTGCTTTCCCAGGCCACAGGCAGGGAGCTGGAAGGGAAGTAGAGCTGCCGGGATTAGAACTGGCACCCATATGGGATCCCGGCGCATGCAAGGCAAGGACTTTAATCACTTGGCCATCGTGCCAGGCCCTTAATAGGTTTTTAAATAGCAACTGTTTCTATTATTACAAGGCTGTGATAAGAGGTCCCCCCAGTTTTTGTTTTTTTTTTTTTTTTTTTGCTCGGGCATTATAATACCCTTTTCTTTCTAGGGGTTTGCTTTTACCCAAAGTGGTTGAAGATCGTGGTGTGCACAGAACGGACATTGGGAATCTTGGAAGTGGAATATACTTCAGTGATTCGCTCAGGTGAGTCGGCTGCTTGCTTCCCAAGGAATCGATGCTGCGCCTTGCTCTTCTTGCCTCTGTCTTTCCCCGATGAGGAAGTTTCTTATGCAAGCAACAAACCACTGAAAGGCGCCAGGTTTCCCAGTGTCCTGTAACCGGCTGTCTGACAGCGAATGTTAAGGGAAATTACATTTGAAACCCTCTTCGTGATGCACGCTTCTAAGAGCTTTGCTGTGTGTTTTGGCTGAGGTTCTTTCCAAGGAAAGCCCTAACTGTTCTCTGTCACTGGTGGGACTCAGAGGGCCTTGCTCCAGGTTATGCAGCTCACCCAGGGCTGGGGTGGGCTCAGTCTCTGCAGCCAGGGTCTTTGAGAGCCTGGGCTCAGGCACAGCCCTGGCCATGAATGCCTCTTTAGAATGTTCCAGCAGATGAAAACTCAACCCCTCTCTCCCTGTTTGTAAGTCTGCCTTTCAAAAAAATTTAAATGAATCTTGAAAAAAAAAAACCCAGAAATCTAAACAAAATTGGCAGGAGCAATATACTTTTCTCTGAGAACAAGTGTTTTGAAGACAACCTGACACAACCAAGGCCCATATATGTGTTTACTCTCTGAACTTTAAAGTAAACAAGCTCATAATAAAGTTCAGAGCTGAATCTTTCCAACAATCTCAATAACAGTGAATTTTGGGATAGCTTTACAGGAAGGTATTTCAGTAATACAACCCTAAATTCATGGGGCCAGGAAGTGTTCTAATTTTCAAGTTTTCACAACTTTTGAAATATTGACATATATACAATGGGATATCTTGGGGCTTAGACCAAAACCTAAACACAAAATGTTTTATGCTTCATATACACCTTATGCAAACAGCCTGTAGGTCATTGTATACAATGATTAGCACACCTGTGGCTTATTTTGTTTTGTGTTTGTTTTTAAAAGTTTATCTTACTGATTTGAAACTCAGAGTTATGGGCAAAGAGAGGAAGTGAGATCTTCCATCTGCTTGCCAACTCTCCAAATGGCTGCAAAGGTCCAGGCGGGGTCAGGCCAAAACCAGGAGCTTCACCACAGTCTCCCACATGGAGGCAGACGTCCGAGGAATTTCCCATCTGCCACGATTTCCCAAGCACATTAGCAGGGAGCTGGATCGTAGTAGAACTGCCACGTCTCCAACTAGCACGGACATGAAACGCTGGCATCGCAGCTACAAACTTCACCCCCTGTGCTATAACAATGACCCCCGCACTTGTGTTGTAACTGTGACCCATCACAGGAGGCCTGGGTACCATGCTCTACCTTGGTGCCACGCAGTGCTTAACATGTTTTGGACTTCAGAACACTTCAGATTTGGGACTTCAAGAAAGGGGTGATCGGTCTGCTATAAAATGCTACTGACCTGTAGCTGTAAGTTGAAATATGTGTTTATTTCCTTCCACATGCAGTGCAACTATTAAATATGCACATCCCGGTGAGACCGAGGGCACCAGGTTCCTGCTTGTCTGTGACGTGGCCCTCGGGGAGTGTATAGAATTTGACCAGAAGGACTTCTCTTTAACCGAGGCCCCAGAAGGCTACCACAGTGTGCATGGAGTAGCACGAACAGCCTCGCTCAACACGGATTTTGAGGTATTTATATATTAAGCAACAAAGTCCCAAATGCCCAAAGAACAGCATCAGGTTTTGCTTCTGCTATGTTCAGTATAATTACATTTATGTAATTAATTGTATGTGTGCCATCTGCATTAGCAAACCTGACCTGCTCTTTTGAGAACATCTGCTAATGACAAGTTGTGATTGTTGTCTTTAACTCTTACTATTTTCTGTTTATGCTAGGATGACGAATTTGTGGTATATAAAACTAATCAGGTTAAAATGAAATATATTATTAAATTTTGCCTGCCTGAGGATCAAATAAAGAGCTTTAGGCCTCCTAACAATATTGAACTAGAGCAATACAGACCTCCTGTGTTCTCAGACAGCTCCAAAATTGAAGGTAAGACAATTCTGTTACATTTGTCATGAAACTTACATTCATTTTTTATAATATCTGACCTCGTACATGAATATTTCATTTTATTTTTTTGTTTTGGACATGGGACAACCAGAATGTGAGAAAGGTTAAGTGATCTTAAAATTCCTTGTTACTTTGTTAGCTCACTTAGGTTGAACTTGTTCTCAGAGACAGCCAACCTTAAAGCCAGTGGAGTCACTGTAAGCTGTCCAAGTGCAAAAAGCATAACAGGAGGGTGTGCATTAGGCCACTTTGGTTACTATAATGAAATTCCTGAGGTAGGCTAACTTTATACAAAAAGGAAGCTTGTCTGACTCACAGATGTAGAGCCTAAAGTTTGGGTAGCTACATTGTTTTTTTCTTGTTGATAGGCTAAGAACTTCATGGTAGAAGCTTGAGCAAGAGACCACACCTCAAAACAGGAAGTCAGAGTGAGTCAGGGCTGGGTTGACTCCTTTAACACTCTGCTCTGGAGTGAGCGCAGGACTCCCACAAGAGCCTTCTTGGTGCTTTCCAAGGGCAGTGCCCCAGAGACCACTCACCAGGCACACCTTAAAAGCCTGCGTGACCTCCCAGGGTCAGCACACCAGGAAACAAGCTCCCACACTTGACCTTCTGGGGGACACAATCAAACCGCATCCAAACGAAGCAGGGAAGACAGAACAGACTGCAGACACGGCTTTAGAACCAAGAAGCTGAGGCTTGCAGGTCTACCCTACCACATGGTGCCATCATGAACAAGTCACAGAAACTTTCTAATTATGTTTTGTGTAGTGAGGGGGCTGGCATTTGGCATTAAGACACCATTGGAGACACCTGCATCTATGGCAGAGTGCTTGGGTTCAGTACCCAGCTCTGCTCCCTGAGCAAAGCCTCCAGTTAACGCAGACCCAGGAAAGCAATGGCAATAGCTCAAGTGAGCAGGTTTCTGGTACCCACTGAGTTTTTCTGGTTCCTGGGTCCCACCTGACCCAGAATTAGCCATTACAGCCATTGGGGAATGAATGAGTAGATGGGAGATTCTTTTTTTTTTTTTTAAGATTTATTTATTTTTATCGGATAGGCAGATCTACAGAGAAGAGGAGAGATAGAAAGGAAGATTTTCCGTACAATGATTCACTCCCCAATTGGCCGCAACGGCTAGAGCTGAGCCAATCCGAAGCCAGGAGCCAGGAACTGCTTCCTGTTCTCCCAAGTGGATGCAGGGTCCCAAGGCTTTGGGCTGTTCTCGACTGCTTTCCCAGGCCACAAGCAGGGAGCTGAATGGGAAGTGGAGCTGCCGGGATTAGAACCGGTGCCCATATGAGATCCTGGTGCATTCAAGGCGAAGACTTTAACTGCTATGCTGTCATGCCAGGCCCAGAAGATTCTCGTCTGTCTCTTTGTCTTGCAAATAGAATGAAAATGACTAAATAAATGAACAAGCTACAGTAAAAATACCAGCTAACACTAACATTCCCAACCTGCAGATTACCAGTTGCCAGACACCAAAGCCCCCAGCAGTACCCAGGCTGGCCTTCAAGACACCTCTGGAAATCTGATTCCCCTTGAGAATGTTCACGTCAAAGGGAGAATAATAGACTTCGTGGCCCAGGTAAGCCCTTTGTGGTCCTTTGATGGTTAAACTGAATAGGTATAAATTGTAAGAATCCAATTGCAATTCCAGGAGCTAAAAAAAACCGTATGCATTTCTAAAATCCATTTAATCAACTGTGATTGACTGGGCAGTACACAGGAGGGACAGTTTTATGAACAACACAAAAGCCAACCTCTTGAGCATAGCTTGTATAGGGGAACAGGAGACGGACATGACAAATGAGCTGAGTGCCTATCGGGTTACGAAGTCAAAAAGAAAATCAGGAAGGGAAGGGTTTGGACAGCCAAGGAAGGCCTCACCAAGAAGGCAGTATCTGAGTGCAGACCTGGAGGAGTGGGGAACTAAGCTGTGTGGCTATCCAGTGGATGCTCATTCAGACAGAGGGAGTGGCATTGGGCAAAGACCTGGAGCGGTCAGGTGACATCACACAGGCCACTCTGGCAGGGCAGTGGCGGGAGCAGAACAAAGGGGAGAGGGTCCAAGGCCGACGTTAGGGTGTGGGACTTGCTGCCTGACTCTGAGTGGAGGCTCGAGGCAGTGTCCTTGGGAATCTCTGGCAGTTCTCGCTGGGTGACCCTTCCGAGAGATGCAAGCCGAAGCAAGGGGTCAGCTTATATCCTCCACAGTCCCGATCGGTAGACGTAGGCTGTTCCTGCTGCAGGAGCGAAGCGAGATGGGTCATGCCTTGATCCCAAGGGGATGTCTGGGGCCCAGCACTGTGATGTAGATGGTGAAGCCGTCAGCTGCAGTGCCAGCCTCCCCTTCTGGTGCTGATTTGAGACCATCTGCTCCATTTCTGATCGAGCTCCCTGGAAATACTCTGGAAAAATGGCACAGTATGTCCCAAGTGCCTGGGCCTCTGCACCCAGTTGAGAGACATGGAAAAAGCTCCTGGCTTCAGCCTGGACCAGCCCAGCTCCAGCCATTGCAACCATTTGGGGAGAACCAGTGGATGGAAGATTCTCTCTCTTTCTCTGTCTTTTCTCTCTCTCTGTAACTCTAACTTTCCAACAAATAAATACATCTTTTGTAAAAACAAGGAGGCAGGAAACATCTGGAGCCATATTGCAGCATAGGGACTACTGAGGGGACTGAGTGAGGGCTGATGGTGATCAGGCCCAACACCTGCACAGTGGGATGCAGGATGAGGCTAGCAAAGGACTACAGGTGAACCCAGGAAGCTTGGGGATAGGAACAGAGCCTGAGAGAGCGGCTGCAGTCAGGAATGGCTCCGGGGTTTTGTTCTGAGCAACTGGAAGGATGACATTTGTAGCCCTGAAATGGGGAAGGCCACACAGTGAACACCAAGGGTTGTCTGTGCCTGGCTCACCCAGGTTGACCCTTCTTGGGGTGAATTCATTGTTTTAGCTGACTTATACAATGGCGCTATCTCACAGGAAAAAAATAGTGAAGTGTTGAGTCATCTTCACAGTGTGTTAGTTTCTGATGAAAATGCTTTTGTTACCATTCTCTGTAACTCCTGGCATGGTCAGTGCTCAGTCACACAGTAGGATAGACCAAGGGGATGAGACTGACTTGAGCTCAAGTTCTGAGAGCTCAGCATGCAGAGGCAGGCGTGCTGACTGGGCATGGGACAGTCACCTGCAGAACAGGATGAAGTGTTGACTTAGACTGAGTCCCCATTTGTCGTGGGACAATTTAGCAAATCCTCGTCAAGCACAGGTGTCCTTCGGGGTTTTGTCAAAGAAAAGGCTTTGGGGAAGAGCTCCACCTTCCATCTGTTGTCCCAGTGGACCTGGCCTGGCAAAGACCATCTGGGACCCCTGCTTCACCTCCCCAATCTCTGCTTAGAATGCCAACGCTTGGGATTTGTCAACCTCATGAGAGTTTGGCCAGTCGAAATCATGCTTGGAGTGTAACATTTAGACATTTGCTAGCTAGTTCTTGGCAGTTCAGCGCTGTCTAGGACACCAGAAAGTGGCAACAACTGCAGCTCCCAGTCCCAAAACTCGAAATTGATGCCCTGCTGTGCACTGGCGGCTGCGCTTTCTACCCAGGATCCTTTAGTTTACCACGAGCTGCAGGGCTGGCAATCTTTTTTCTGCCAAGGGCTATTGGGAAATGCACAACATCATTTGTGAACCATACGATAGTATCAACTTAGGAATTCACTGATTTGGGGCCAGAGCTGTAACATAGAAGGCAAAGCTACCGCTTGTGATGCTAGCATCCCATATGAGCACCTGTTTGTATCCTGGCTGCTCCACTTCCTATCCAACTCTCTATTAATGTCCCTGGGAAAGCAGCAGGAGATGGCCCAAGTGTTTGGGCCCCTGTACCCACATGAGAGAAATCGATGAAATTCCTGGCTCCTCATTCAGCCTTGCCCAGCCCTGGGGAGTGAAACAGCAGACAAAAGATTCCTATCTATCTATCTATCAATTTCTTTCTCTCTAGCTCTATAACTGATTTTCTCTTTTTTTAATCTTTCTTTTTTTTATTATTGATTATATTGCATTATGTGACACAATTTTATAGGCACTGGGATTTCCCTCCCCAACCCCCCCCCCCATGGTAGATTTCTCCACCTTGTTGCACTACCACAGTTCAAATTCAGTTGAGATTCTTTCATTGGAAGTATTTGCCAAGCATAGAGTCCAGCATCTTATTGTCCAGATAAGTTCAACGGTTTCTTGGGGAGACCATCTCTGGTCTGAAGGTAGAGCCGGCAGAGTATCATCCTGATCGATTAAAAGCTCCAACATAACATCAGCAACAATTTACAACCTTGTGGAATTAGTTGACATGGTATTGAGTAACCAATATGTATAACTGATTTTCAAATAAACCTCTGAGGAAAAAAAAAAACAAAACAAGAGTTCACTTGCTATAGATTTATTTCACATTAAGTCCCATCTGTGGTTGACTTGGCAGAGCCAGACTAAATGATTCTGTGAGCCTTCTTCGGCCCACAGGTGGGACAGTCCCCACCCCTGGTGGTGAGACATGACCCCAGGATAAATGGGAGCATCTTAACAGCTGCCAGGCCACCTGACACTTAGAGGAACGAGGCTCAGCGCACACATGGGGCTGTGTGCAGTGTTGGTGAGAGTTCCCATGGTCTCCATCAGGTGTGCACAGAGCCCTGAATCTGCAGCCAGTGCACTGGGTTACAGGGCATGGAGGCAGCCCTGCCACTGTGTCATGTGTGGCTGTAGAAGCCAGGGCCAGGAAATTAAGGGATGTAATAAAAACTGAAGGCATTTAAAACAAATATGTGTAATCATGTTTATGTCATGCATATAGACTCATCCAGCATGTGGGTTTTTTCTTCGGCAGGTGGTTCTTTTCCAGACATACACAAATCAAAGTCATGTGCCCATTGAGGCGAAATACATCTTTCCTTTGGATGACAAGGCAGCTGTGTGTGGCTTTGAAGCATTCATCAATGGGAAGCACATAGTAGGAGAGGTAAGGGCAGCAAGCTCTTTGGGGCTGACCTTGCTTCCAGTCTCCCACTCTTCCAGATCTTCATCAGAGTGCTCTGGCTGTGAGGCTGGGTTGGCATGAGACAGAGCCAGCACACGGTCAGTGCGTACTGTAGCATGCCTCCCTGCTCAGCTGCTTCCCATCCAGCCTTAGCTGTCAGGGTCATGCAAATTCTGTGCCTAGGCACTTCAGAAAAAGATGATTTCAATATCAGAAGTTTGAAACAGGCACATTGGGAAATTAGTAAACCCCTTATACATTTCTGAGGGGAAAAAACCTGTTATCTGCACTCCTTGCTATAAAAGTCAAGCTGGGTGTGGAGGGCCACATTCTGACATAGCACGTTAAGCTGCCTCCTACGGTGATCGCCAGTTCGAGCCATGGGTGCTCCACGTCTGGTCCAGTTTCTTGCTGATGCTCCTGGGAAAGCAACAGAGGATAGTCAGATACTGGGACTCCTGCAACCCATGGGAGAGAACAAAATGGAATCCTGTCTCCTGACTTAGCCTGACAGCCCTGGCCATTGCAGCTATTTGGGGAATAACCCAGTGGATGTAATGTCTCTTCTCTCTCTGTAACCTGCCTTTAAAATAAATAATAAATCAATCTTAAAATTAAAAAGGTGAAGCCAGGGCAGGTATGTGGTGCAGCTATTAAAATGTCACCTCAGGGGCCTGGCACAATAGACTAGTGGCTAAAATCCTCACCTTGCATATGCCAGGATCCCATATGGGCACCTGTTTTTATCCCAGTTGCTCCACTTCCCATCCAGCGCCCTGCTTGTGGCCTGGGAAAGCAGTTGAGGACAGCCCAAAGCCTTGGGACCCTGCACCTGCTTGGGAGACCTGGAGGAAGCTCCTGGCTTCAAATCAGCTCAGCTCTGGCTGTTATGGTCACTTGGAGAGTGAACCAGTGGACAGAAGATCTTCCTCTCTGTCTCTCCTTCTCTCTGTAAATCTGTATTTCCAATAAAAATAAACAATTCCTTTAAAAAGGCCATTTAGGACTCCTCCATTCCATTTGGAGTGCCTCGTTCAAGTTCTCGTCTCACTGCCCTTCCAGCTTGCTACTGATGTGCACCTGGGAGGCAGCAGGTGGTGATGGGTCAGGCACAGCAGGTGGTGATGGGTCAGGCACAGCAGGTGGGGATGGGTCAGGCACAGCAGGTGGGGGTGGGTCAGGCACAGCAGGTGGGGGTGGGTCAGGCACAGCAGGTGGGGTGGGTCAGGCACAGCAGGTGGGGGTGGGACAGGCACAGCAGGTGGTGATGGGTCAGGCACAGCAGGTGGGGATGGGTCAGGCACAGCAGGTGGGGGTGGGTCAGGCACAGCAGGTGGTGATGGGTCAGGCACAACAGGTGAGGGTGGGACAGGCAGCTGGGTCCCTGCCATGCAGGAGAGACCATGTAGAGTCCTCAGCTCCCAGCTTGCACCTGATCTACCGTCAACCGGTCACAGGCAACTGAGGAGTGAACCAGCAGACCATAGTTCTCTCTTTGAAAGAAACAAAATGAATATAAAAAAATATTAAAGAGAAGTAGTCAAACTGAAATGAGAGTTCTTTTGGAAAGTTTCTAAGAAAAAGCGTACCAAAAGAGTTAACAATCGATTTGTTCTTTAAGGATTAGCACACACTCAGAAGTAATAAAAAATGACTAAATTTAAGATAACCTTTAGGGACAGCCAATTGGCAGCAATTAAGATAACACTTAATATGGGACACTTGTATCCCATATCCGTGCCTGACTCTGGTCCAGCTCCACTGCTGACTCCAGTGTCCTGCTAATGCAATGAGACGGCAGTGATGGCTCAGGTAGTTGGGTCCTTCTGCCCTTGAGACCTGGACTGAGTTCCTGGTTCCCGTATTCACCTTGGCCCACGCCCAGCAGATGGGGTACTGTTTGTCTCTGTCTCTCTGCATTTCAAATAAATCAGCAAATAATAATAAATGTCTTCCAGATTAAAGAGAAGGAAGAAGCCCAGCGTGAATACCGAGAGGCCATCAGCCAAGGTCATGGCGCTTACCTGATGGACCAGGATGCTCCGGTGTGACTTCATACTCTTCCAATAGCTAGCCTGGTCATGAGAAAGGGGGAAAGTGGGAGAAGGTTTTGAAATGCTAGAGACCAGATCATTGGTGCTGTTTCAGAGCCCAGAGTTCCATTTGCTCACCAGCCTCACTCTTAAGCAGGACCTGTTCTCATGGGCCGTAATGTGGGGCCTCCCTCCTTGGTCCTCCTGTACATTTTCCCACCCTGGAAAGTGCTGTGTCGGGGTTTCCTGCCTGCCCTGCAGTTGTTTGTTCAGATGCCTGAGCTTTGTGCTGCTTCATGTAGGGTCCAGAGCGCAGGACGGTTTTATCCCCTTCCTCTGGGGAGGTAGTTTTGGCTTCATCCTTCTCTGAAGCAGGGGAGCTGTGCCTGGTTGCTATGACCATAGGGAAGATATTGTTCCCTATTTTGTTTCTGTTCCTTTCCCAGCAGACCTGGAAGTGACAGCTTAAAGCTTTTACTTCGTAAGAGGAGAGGGTGCAGGCGAGTGGCACTTAGTGTTCCAGGCCAAGCAGCAGCCAGCTGCTTTCCACACATCTGTTCACCTGGCCACCTTCCACACCCCACACTGCCAGCTGTCTGCCTCCCATGCACCTGCTCTGCTGAGAGGAGCTTTCTTCCGACTGCAGCCCCATGCCGGTCTATCTGATGGACTCCACAGCAAACAATGGCGGACAGCCTGCAAGAGAACCTAGCTTCTCTTGGATCAGGAGCTCATAGTCAGCCAAGCTCAGAATCTGTAGGAATCTGCACAGTTCCTGTTGTCCCCTCTGTCCTCAGAGAGCAAGTCTTTGGAATTCAGCTCTCTTGGCTGATGAGTTCTAAGCATGTTATGAATTTATAGATTATCTGGTAATATCAGAATGAGCATCATCTTGCATCTGTGTGTGTCCTACTCAGAAATGGAAATGTCACCCACAGTTCAGTGGCACTCTCTCAAATGAACCCCAGGCTTTTACACCGATGCTGCTTTTTTTTAAAGATTTATTTATTTTTATGGGAAACGTAGATTTCAGCTCAGTGGCCAACAGGAATCTTCTCTCCCCTCAAACCTTTATTATATCCTGCAGATGGGTCGCGGTCTTCACTGTCAGTGTTGTTCTGTGCACCCAGGTCTTCTTTCTGGGATAAGTTTGCTCCAATAAACCAAAATACCAGACACAGCAGGGCGCTTAGGAGGTCTTTTCTTCTAGCAGGGTAAGGACAGGAAGGGAGGCAAGCTTAAACTGCTGGATCTAGACTCCTGTGTGAGTTGCAAACCACTGCATCTGATTCTATTTCAGGATGTTTTTACTGTGAGTGTTGGCAACCTGCCCCCTGCAGCTAAGGTTCTTATCAAAATCACCTACATCACAGAACTGACCCTGCAGGGCCCCGTGGCTGTCTTCTTCATGCCAGCCACCGTGGCTCCCTGGCAACAGGACAAGGCCTTGAATGAAAACCTTCAGGTTTGTACACCTAAGATTAGATTTGAGGCAGTTATATGCATGGGGAAGGAAAAACGTCTGAAGTCATCTATTGTAGCATAAAGTCAATTTTCCTGACACTTAGGTGTTTAGACGTGTGTCCTATCTGTGACATGAATCAACAGGAAGACAGATCTGCTCAATGGGCATAGTTTTTTTTAACTACTCGATCACTCATGTTCTGTGTGTGTGCTTCGTCACAAAGAGTGGATGAGCATGGCGAACTCAAATAAGCCAAAAGAAGAGGATTAAGATCATCCCAGTTCTATTACCCAGAGAAAGCTGCTGATTATTGTTGTAGGTGCACATATGTGTATAAATGTGTATACGAATACAGGCATGCAGAGTGAGGTGTGTGTTTACACACTACAAACACTTAGTGTGTGTGCATAATGGTCAGACGTGATTCCTGCTGTCAGGTGTGCCTTGGAAGGGACTGTCACTCCAAGAACAGCGTTCCGTGTCCCAGGTCGACCTGTGTGGTGCTGCCGTCAGTTCAGGGTTCCACTGGGAACTTTGACTAGACACTCAGCCACGTGTGTTTTTCTTTAAACAGGACACAGTAGAGAAGATTTGTGTGAAGGAAATAGGAACACAGCAAAGGTAAGTACCTGAAATATTTAAAACCCATCTGTTGTTTGATTTGTCATTATGGCTTACATTTTCTTATAAAATTATGTGAAACAACTTGGTAGAACTAAGACATGAGAGACTAAAGCAACGTCTTCACTTTTGGTAGCTTCTCTTTGACTATGTCTATCGAGATGCCATATGTGATCAAGTTCATTTCCAGTGACACGCATGAACTAAAACAAAAGGTTAGTGAATGTTTTCTTTCTTTTTTTAAAAAAAAATATTTATTGACAGGCAATGCTACATATAGATGTAGACATAGATTTGAACATGGACACAGAGACAGAGAGCAAGTGTCCACCCACTGGTTCACTCCCCAAATCCCAAATGTCCACCACAGCCTGGGAAGGACCATGCCAAAGCAAAGAGCCAGGAACTTACCTGTGCTGCTTATGTAGATGGCAGAGGCCCACGTACCGAGACCTCATCTGCTACCTTCCACAGTACATTAGCAGGAAATTGGGTTAGAAACAGAGAGGAGACTCAGCCCGGGCACTATGAGATGGGCAGGTGCAGATGCACCAAGACATCTTCAACACTGAGCCAAAAGCCTGTGCCTTGGATCTCCGTTCAGAACAGTGAAGTTGTAAAATTCACCACTAATTTATGTATTTGAAAATCAGAGAAAGAGCTTTTATCCTCCGGTTGGAGAGCTCAAAGCTCTGTCTCTTTGCCTCTCAAATACAAATTTTCCAAAAAATACAAGTTTATTTTGGTGCATAAAAGCAGGCAGCAGGTGAAGGCCCAAATGGGGGTTCCTCCCACCACGATGGGAGACCTGGCTGGAGTTCCTGGCTCCTGGGTGGGTTTAGCTTGGCTCAGCCCTGGCTGTTCTGAGCATGTGTGGAGTAAACCAGGAGGTGAAAGATACCTCTCTCTCTCTTTGTGTCTTTCAAATGAGGCGAAAACAAGTAACTAAAATTGTCAATTATTGTTAATAGCAGTGTTTACCATTGAACCAAGAAATGTGTTATGATGACATTCTTTTGTCAAAGTTGCTGTTTCCATTAGCCTGTTTCCAAGGACTGTATCTGGCAGTTGAGGCTAACCTCTCTACACGCTGTTTTTCACACTGTTGGTGCCTGATGGCCCATTTCCCTGCCTTCCCCCACCTCGTCCTCTGGCTCCTGCGATGGTCTGGTCAGGTTATCACTGGGCCAACCTATCGAGGCTTCCCTGTACTATCCTTCCTTTTGCTGTTTTGTTTGGTTGGTTGGTTGATTGATTGTTTTTTTTTTTTTTTCCTCCATGCTTCTTATTTTCTTCCTCCAGGCTGGCAGAGCACAACCTCCACATACTTCCTGAGAACGCATATGGGGAGGGAGTAAAAACACCCGCCCTTCTCCAGGCAGGTGTGGCTCCCAGGGTTACTTCTGACAAGTGCAATTATTCATGTTCCCTGTCCTTTGTGGCCTGTTGAGCTCGGTTTTTGAGGATTCTACAAGAATTATCCCTAGGATCCTGAAGTTTCCTAAATATACGACGTTAGTTCATTGTATGTAATTCATGTTGCCTAGTCCTGGGAAATAAGAATTTTTAAAAATGAGTCACTCCTTTCTCTCCTTCCTTACTGCAGCATCTTCCAATCAGGTGTCTTCGCTGTCTGGCGTTCCTCTCCTCCTGTCCAATCAATTGCCTTTTTGTGCTATTTCCTAGGAGAGTTTCCTGTCCAATTTTAAATTGTCCTCGCTCTACAAAATGTGTGATTCTTTAAAGATTTGTTTATTTTTATTGCAAAGTCAGATATACAGAAAGGAAGAGAGACAGAGAGGAAGATCTTCTGTCCAATGATTGACTCCCCAAGTGACTGCAATGGCCGAGGCTGCGCCAATTTGAAGCCAGGAGCCAGGAGTTTCTTCTGGGTCTCCCACACGGGTGCAGGGTCCCAAAGCTGTCCTCGACTGCTTTCCCAGGCCACAGGCAGGGAGCTGGATGGGAAGCGGGGCTGCTGGGATTAGGACCAGCTCCCATATGGTGTGTTCAAGGCAAGGACTTGGCTGCTATGCCACCTCACCAGGCCCAATGTGTGGTTTTGATTCTCATACATTTTAGTTCTCGGAGCTCTTTTCTGTCCTTTGAATATTCCTTTTTCATAGCACCTTTGTATGTTTCATGGGAAAACTGTTTTCTTTTGTTTCTTGGAAAACATTCACAATACACATTTTTTTTTTCTGTTTCCTCATTTTCAGTTCCACTTTTCCCTTCTGGATTTTTTTGTGTCTGTATTCTTCATGGTAGAGGCTTTTCCTAATCCGTCTTGGGGACGTCTTCCTGTTTTTGTTGTCAGAACTGAGACACAAGAACATTGATTTGAACCTTCTGGATGGTCAGAAAGTGTGACTGGGAGACTCACATGTTAGAATGCCAACTCGCTTTCCTTCCCCTTGGGGAATAGCCCTACACTGTTCTGTGCCATTGTGCCAGCATCTCCTAGTCTAGGTGCTATTTGGTTGAAATTTTTTTAAAAGATTTTTTTTTTTTTTTGAAACGCAGAGTAATAGAGAGAGAGAGAGGAAGGGAAGGAGGGACAGAGAAAGATCTTGCATCTTTTGCTCCACTTCCCAAATGGCCACAGCAGCCAGGGCTAGACTGGGCTGAAGCTAAGAGCTAGGAACTCCATTTGGGTCTCCTATATGGGTGACAAGGGGCCAAGCACTTGGACCATCTTCAGCTGCTTTCCCAGGCACATTAGCAGAGAGCCGCAATGGAAGCATAGCAACCAGGAACTGAACCAGCACTCTGATATGGGACCACAGGAGGTAGCTTAATAGGCTATGCCACAACACCCACCCCTGGTTGAAGTTTTCTAATTGCTGAGCCTCTGTCTCCTTTAGTGAGAAAACAGGGGATGCATGGCACTAGTGCTAAGCAACTCCGAGTGGGGAAGAGCCTGGAACCTGCGAGCTTGGCTCATGATCTCTTGGCTGGGACCATGTTTCTGCAGGAACTGTGCCTCTGCCTCTGAGCCTTCCCTTTGCTGCTGAGGGTTAACGAGACTGCCACCTGTAGTGGCCCCCTCTGTGGGCACTGGGGAGTAGCTGCCTCTACTTCAGCCCCATCTCCTTCAGCTTTCTAGCTCCTTAAACTTTTAGATGCCTCCCATCTGCTGTGATTTTTGTCGATGTTCTCAATCTCTTGTATAAGTTAAAACTTTTTAAAGTTTCCTTCCCACTCTTTGGAAACTTAGCACGTTGCTATACAGCAAAGAGAGGCACATGGGTTTGATCCACCCTGGGTGCCAAGGCCACCACCCCAGTTAGCTTTGGGCAACAAGAGTTGCCAAGGCCTGGGACTTAAAGCAGCAAGTGCCAGTTATTCTCACACTTCTGTGGATTGGCCTGGCAGCTCTGGGTCTTGGAGGCACCAGCTGGTCAAACATGGCATCATGACACTCAGCTGCTGCCTTGGTGTCAGCTGGGGCAGCAGCTGTGTCTTCCACCATCCAGCAGGTTGACCGAAGGCCATTCATTCAACAGAGGGGCATCACGGGAAAACTGGTGGCATTCCACAAGTCCCTGCTTATATCACATCTCATCTGCCAGTATGCCACTGGGCAAAGCAACTCATACAGCCGCCTCCAATGGCCAATTCAAGAGTGGTGACATAGGCACCACCTCTTGATGGGAGGAGCTCCAAGGTCACATCGCAAAGGGGCAGGATTATAGGAGTAGAGAGACCTTGGGAGTCACCACATGGTCGTCGCTGTTTGTACACTTAAGTGCATTTCAAAAGCTTCCTTACATTTACAAAGATATAATCTCGAAATAAGGCATAACTTTAAGACATCTTTGGACTGTTCCCCACTGCTGGTTTAGGTCCTGATTAACTAGTGTGCGCTCTGCCATATGCATTGCTGAATACACAGGTCTCTGCATGGAACCCAGGGTTGAGACCATCCTGAGACTCACCTAAACTTGACTGTGTAAATCAACCTTAGCATTTCAAGGGCGGTGGGGGGGGGGGGATGGATGACACTGCTCAGACACCTAAAACCTACATTTCATGCGGTTGGGGTTTATTCCTGTGTTGCTGGCTCCTCACAGAGTTATGTGAATCAAGCAACGGCGTTTATTTCTTGCACACTGATGGCATGCCTGTGTCTTGTGGGTCACTGTGCTATGTGACTGCTTGCTTTGCAGAGCACTGACTGCAAGGCGGTCGTCAGCACCGTGGAAGGCAGCACCTTGGAGAGCAACGGCTTCTCCCTTCACGTCGGTCTGTGTGATCCGTACCTCCCAAGGATGTGGGTGGAAAAACATCCAGAAAAAGAAAGTGAGGTACGTTCCTCCTCTCTTAGAATTAAGACCTAGGATTGGAAAAGCATGTGGGAAGAAACGGGTTATTTCCATAGGAAATTACTGACTGAAAATGAATGCATCCTGAAGACTCTGCAAAGAGCCTGCCTGAGATTTCCAAACAAAGATGTGGGAGCCAGAGCCCAGCTTGTCCACCCACAAGCTGTGTGTGTTGGGGGGCGGGGGGCAAGGCCTTGAACTTTGGCTGTGTGTGTGCGGTAGAGACAGAGAGAGGCATCTAAGCGTGTTCCAATGTTGATACCATGTGACTTCACTGACGTTGGTTCTGGAGCTCTCAGGTTTATGCCCTATACACTGTAAATGCCAGCTCTACCATTCTGCTATTTGAAGTCCTACTAGGCCGTGCTGCCATGTCTCTCCCTCCTTTTAGGCATGCATGCTTGTCTTTCAACCCTGCCTCACTGCCACCCTCCCACACGTGGCCGACAGGAACGAAGTGATTATTTGTCTTGACTGTTCCAATTCCATGGAGGGGGTGACATTCACCAACGCCCGAAAGATTGCCTTGCACGCCTTGTCCCTGCTAGGCAAGAAGCAGAAAGTAAACATCATCCAGTTCGGCACAGGTGAGCATGCCCGAGTCCCAGCCCGGAAGTCTTCCTCCTTGCTGGGACCACACCCTGTAGGAGAAGCAAGGGCCTGGCACACGGGAAGTTGGGCCCGTGTCCGGCTCTGCCACGCTCAAGCTCGGTGTGTTGCCTTGAGCAAGTGCTTCAAGTTTGGGTTCCTGAGTGTCCTCATCTGTCGTCTGCGGCTGTCTCTCCCTCCTGTACTACCATGTGCAGTAAGCTGATTTAAACCCTGTAAAGGGTTTAAAATCAGGGCTGTCCCAGTCTAGTATGGTATGGTAATGGTTATTGTTAGCTGAGCTGAACACAAGACCCTCGGTCTGATTCACAGGGTGTCCCCAAAGTAAGAATGGCTCATTTGCGATCAGCACTGTGAAGCATTGTCTCAGCATCAGGGCACTGTTAGGAGGAAGGCGATGCTGTCCTGCAGGCCAGTGTCCAGACACGTCTCTGCCAGCAGCAGGGGACACTTCAGTAGAGAGAAGTCCGTGCCATCTTATCATTATTTTCGTCTTCCAGGCCATCCAGTAGGCTGCCTGAAGCCTCTATGATGGAGCGGGACGTGGACATGAGTCCAACAGGTGGGGGGATTGCAAAGGGCATGCATGAAGGCTGGCCCTAGGGCCCAGCGCCATGACAGCACTGACTAATCCTTGACCTTGCAAGCACCAGGATCCCAGAAGAGCACCATTTTATGTCCCAGCTGCTCTACTTCCCATCCAGCTCCCTGCTTGTGGCCTGGGAAGGCAGTGGAGAACGGCCCAAAGCCTTGGGACCCTGCACCCATGTGGGAGACCTGGAAGAAGCTCCTGGCTTCGGATCAGCTCAGCTCCGTCCTCTCTGTGTTCACTTGGGGAGTGAATCAGTCGATGGAAAATCTTTCTGTCCCCTCCATACAATCTACCTTTCCAACAAATTTAATAAAACTTTAACAAAAATTTAAAATGCCAGCCCTTGTAGGTCCAAGCTGCTCCTGCCATTGCTACCCACCTTGGCTCTTTATTTTTTTAAGATTTATTTATTTTTAATTACAAAGTCAGATATATAGAGAGGAGGAGAGGCAGAGAGGAAGATATTCCATCCGATGATTCAGTCCCCAAGTGACCACAAAGTTGCTCCAATCCGAAGCCAGGAGCCAGAAACCTTCTCCAGGTCTCCCACATGGGTGCAGGGTCCCAAGGCTCTGGGCCATTCTCGACTGTTTTCCCAGGCCACAAGCAGGGAGCTAGATGAGAAGTGGAGCTGCTGGGATTAGAACCAGCTCCCAATGGGATCCCAGCGCATTCAAAGCGAGGACTTTAGCCACTAGGCCATGGCGCCGGGCCCCATGGCTCACTTTGCACAAACGATCTACAGAGCAGCTGAACTGACTCAAACCACGTGACTACATAGATCCGACCCAGAGCATCATGCATAATAAAGTACAGGATTGGCATGCTCTAGAATGTATAGATATACAATGAATTTTTTATACATTAAAATGATCAAGCATGGTTTTCTAAAAAGGAAGGTATGCCCATTAATAAAATTTTCCTTTTTAAAAAAAAAATGATTTCCATTGGAAAGGCAGATTTATAGAGAGAAGAAGAGACACAAAGAAATATCTTCCATCCACTGGTTCATCCCACTGTAACAGCCACAGCTGAGCCAATCCAAGGCCAGGAGCCAGGAGCTGCTTCTTTGTCTCCCACGCAAGTGCAGAGTCCCAAGGTTTTGGGCCATCCTCTGCTGCTTTCTCAGGCCACAAGCAGGGAGCTGGATGGGAGGCAGAATAGCTTAGCACAGGAAGCAGCACCCCTATGGGATCCTGCTGCTTGGAGGTAGGGGGTTAGCCAGCTGAGCCATGCACCAGCCCTAACATTTTCTGTATGATAGCAGCAAAGTTGTCATTCTTGCGTCTTGGTGATAAACTGAATGTTTCATGGGAACATCTCATGTAATGTTATTACGTAGGTTACAAGGAGCTATTTTCATATCCTAAGAACATCACAAGTCAAAAAGTGCTGACGGACTTCATTTTGGTGAGCGAAAACATTTTCTCCATTCTCTGAGTCTTCCTCTATCAAGAGTTAGTGGTCTCGGGGTTGGAGGAAAGATGGGGTTTAAATTAAAAAAAAAAAAATTAGTAGTCCAATGGGTTAAATTAGGACCCATTCCCTCTTTGGGCTGCTGTGTTGGCAGGCTCTTTATTTCACTAGTAATGGTATGTGAATCTGTTACAGAAAAATTGAAAATTAAAGAGTAGAAACAAATCACCAGTCTGTATGTAACTGATATTAATGATTTTGACATTTTTTCTAAAAATAATAATAGCAATAATTTGAAAGGAAGAGATAAAAATAGTTCACCTGCTGGAATTCCATCCAGATCTCCTAGTTGGGTGCAGGGGCGTGGGCACCAGGGGCATCCTCCACTGCTCTCCCGAGTACATCAACAGGAAGCTCATCAGAAGTATTTGGGACTCTGATTGGCACCGCTGTGGAATGCCAGGGGCGTCACGTGCCGTGCCCCAGCTCCAGTCCCTTGAACAATTTACTTGGGTCTGTGTTTATTCTCTCTCCCAATGGAGCAGGCTAAGAATGGCCAGGCTCCCACCAAGTCCAGGCTGGTGAACCCAGGGGTGGTTTGAGGGCTGTTTCTCCCATGCACGCAACAGCCATACACAAGCAAGTGGCAAGTGATAAAGATATGAAATAAACGGAAGGGATATAGTTACCGCAATGATGGCACATCGCTAAGCCCTCGTTAAAAGACGCACTTCAGGAAATGGTTCCAGTTAATGGTGAATTCACCCAAAAAGGACTGAGTGCTCTTTTGTTTTGTCTCCTCCAGTCAGCCACGCCTACCATGGGGAACACAGACTTCTGGAAAACCCTACGGTACTTAAGTTTACTGTACCCCGCTCAAGGGTTACGGAACATTCTCCTGATATCTGACGGGCACCTCCAGAATGAGAGCCTGACCTTACAGCTCGTGAAAAGGAGTGTCCACCACACCAGGCTGTTCACCTGTGGAATTGGGTAAGTCCTGACCACCTGGAAGGATCTTGCATCTGCTTGTTCATTCCCCAGATGACCCCAACAGCTGGAGCTGAGCTGACCTGAAGCCAGGAGCTTCTGCTGGATCTCCCCTGTGGGTGCAGGGGCCCAAGCATCCGGGTCAGCCTCCACTGCTTTCCCAGGCTCTTTTTCAGGGAGCTGGATCGGAAGTGGAGCAGCTGGGACACAGATTCAGTGTTCATGTTGAGAAGCAAGCATCAGAGGTGGAGGCTTAATTTGCCAAACCACAATGCGGACTAGCTGCAGTTCATCTTTTTTTTTTTTTTCAAAGATGCATTTGTTTGAAAGGCAGTGCTACAGAAACAGAGAGAGAGAGAGAGAGAATCTTGCAAGTCGCTTGTTGCTCTCCAAGGCTACAGTGGTAGGACTAGGCCAGGCCAACGCCAGGGGCCTGAAATTCCATCCAGATGGTATTGACATGCAAGCACTTGGGCCATCTGCTGGGCTCCCAGTTGTGTTAGCAACAGCTGGATCATAAAGTATGGCACCTGGGATTCAAACCAGCAGCTCAGATAGTGGCTTAACCTGCTCTGCTACAACATGAGAATCAGAAATTAGTTCTTAGTGAAATATTATCAACAGAAACCTGATAGGACCAATGCCTTTTAAATATCAAGAATTCTCTTTGCTTCAGTGAGCATCATTTCTTTATACTTCCTGCATTTCGGTGTGTATCCAGTTTTAAGACATAAATATTATTGGGCCCAGTGAGATAGCCTACTAATTAAATCCTTGCCGTGCACGCGCTGGGATCCCATATGGGCACCAGTTTGTGTCCCGGCAGCTCCACTTCCCATCCAGCTCCCTGCTTGTGGCCTGGGAAAGCAGTGCAGGATGGCCCAAGACCTGGGAGGGACCCTGCACCCATGTGGGAGACCCAGAAGAAGCTCCTGGCTCCTGGCTTCAGATTGGCTTAGCTCTGGCCCTTGCAGCCACTTGGCGAGTGAACCAGTAGATGGAAGATCTTTCTCTCTGTCTTTTCTTCCCTCTGCATATCTGCCTTTCCAATAAAAAATAAAAATGTGTCTAGAGTGTTTTGAACATCAAACTGTGATATTTTTTCAGTGCCTCTGCGAATCGTCACATCTTGAGGACTTTGTCCCAGTACGGTGCTGGAGTGTTTGAATATTTTAATTCAAACTCCAAACATAGTTGGAAGAAACAGGTACGTGTTTAATCACCCTCATTTTTTTTAAAGATTTATTTATTTATTGCAAAGTCAGATATACAGAGAGGAGGAGAGACAGAGAGGAATATCTTCCATTCGATGATTCACTCCCCAAGTGAGCGCAACGGCCGATGCTATGCCGATCCGAAGCCAGGAGCCAGGAACCACTTCTGGGTATCTCACACCGGTGCAGGGTCCCAAGGCCTTGGTCCGTCCTCGACTGCTTTCCCAAGCCACAAGCAGGGAGCTGGATGGGAAGTGGAGCTGCCGGGATTAGAACCAGCACCCATATGGGATCCCGGGCATGTTCAAGGCAAGGACTTTAGCCGCTAGGCCACGCCACCGGGCCCAACTCACCCTCATTTTATGCTCTTATGTGGAAGATGAGCTTCACGAGTCTAAATGATGAGAACCAGCGTGTTTGCTGGGCTGGCAAGGGGCGCTGTGGACAGACCTACGGACAGGTGGGCTCCTGCCCATGTGCTGCTGCTCTGGCAAGAGCACCATCCCTGTAGGATTTGGCCAGTTGCCCAGGTAACAGTTGGATTTCTGTTTTATGAAGTGTTGTGTGTTGATTTTTGGAGGTGAGCTATGATGTGTGTTTTGCTGGGATTTTTATTGTGGTCAATGAGACACAAAACATCCCAATGTGCAGTGGCTGTGCAGTGCCCAGCTCTGTGGCATGTGCACGGGGTCTATAGTAGCATGCTTGTGGCCCTGGCATGCCACGGGGCTGGAGCTGGGGCATGGCAGGTGACATCCAATGATGTTGTAGTCGTGTCCTGTCGCAGAGCTTTTTCATCTCCCTTTAAACAGTAGCTGCCATCCCCTCCTCTCCCTTGGCACCTGCTGTGCCCTCCAGGGCTCTAGCAGCCTTCCTGTTCCAGGTATGCCCTATCCACATAAATCCCTTTGGTGACTGCTTTAATTCACGTAACATAATGTATTCAAGGCTCAGCTTGTGCGCCAGAATTTCCTTGTCTTTAAGGCTGAATAATGGTCCATGACCACGTGTTGACCACCTGGTCATCGGTGGATGGACCCTCGGGTGGCTTCCACCCTTTGGTGGTTGCGAATGATGCTGGTGTGAAGGTTGGCATGCAGGGACCTGTCCGACCTCAGCATTCGTTTCCGGGCAGCTGAGAAGTGACACTGCTGGATCCTGTGGTCACCCCGTGGGTGGCTTAGGGCTGCCATGCTGTCTCCCTCAGCAGCTGCTCCATCTCGTATTGCCACTGGCCACACATCGGCACTGCTTCTTACGTTTTTGTTTTTGTCTGTTTAATAGCAGCCATCGTAACGGATATAAAGTTACATATCGTCATGATTTCTATTTACGTTCTCTATTCACTCTTGGTGCTGGCTGGCTGTTTTTAAAATGTGCTTATTTATTTGAAAGCCAGGGTTAAATGAAGAGCAAGGAGAGACAGGGCGATCTTCCATCTGCTGGGTCACGCCATAGATGCCTATCTTGTGGCCAGGCAGGAGCCAGGAGCCCAGGGCTTTTTCAAGTTCTCCCGTATGGGCTCAGATGCCCAAGTACTTGAACCATCATTGACTTCCTCCAGCAGGAAGCTGAATCAGAATAGGATTAGCATGGATTTGAACTGGTACTCCTGTGTGGGCATCTCAAGTGCAGCACATTCTTTTTTTTTTTTAAGATTATTTGTTGAGGGTCCAGAGTGGTAGCCTAGTGGCTAAAGTCCTCACCTTGCACATGCCGGAATCCCATATGGGCACCGGTACTAATCCCAGTGGCCCATTTCCCATCCAGCTCCCTGCTTGTGGCCTAGGAAAGCAGTCAAGAACGGCCCTAAGCCTTGGGACCCTGCGCCGGCGTGGGAGACTTGGAAGAAGCTCCTGGCTTCAGATCAGCACAGCTCCAGCCATTACGGCCACTTGGGGAGTGAATCATCGAACAGAAGATCTTTCTCTCTGTCTCTCCTCCTCTCTGTATATCTGCAATTGCAATAAAAATTAAATAAATCCTTTTAAAAAAATACACACTTGGTCTATATCTTTTTAAAAAAAAAAAGGTATATTTATTTTTTTGGAAAGTCAGATATACAGAGAGGAGGAGAAACAGAGAAAAGTCTTTCTTCTGCTGATTCATTCTCCAAGTGGCCACAACAGCCAGGGCTGAACAGGTCCAAAACTAGGAGCCTCTTCCAGGTCTCCCACGGGGGTGCAGGGTCCCACAGCTTTGGGCCATCTTCAACTAATTTCCCAGGTCACAAGCAGGGAGCTAGATGAGAAGTGGAGCAGCTGGGACATGAACCGGCACCCATATGGGATCTCAGCATGTGCAAAGCAAGGACTTTAACCACTAGGCTACCACGCCAGGCCCAGACACTTGTTTCTAATCTTCCTTTCTATTCTTCCTGTTTCTGGGGAAAGAAGGGAGAGGAAGAGAAGGCCACTGCCAGCAGCCTAACCGCAGCTGTAGCTGAGGTCGTGGGACGGCCTTTCAGTGTCATGCTGAGGTCCCGGATGTGGAGCATGTCTCAAGGGTGCTGCTTTGGTGGCTTCAGTAGTTCTGAGATGCTGTTGATTCCGTTGTTCCACGGAAGAGGTGATCCCTCCAGGCTTGCCCAGACACCTGCTGCCGAAGCTCAGCCAGGAGTGTGGTCCAACTTGTCCTGCCCTCTGTGGGCAGGCCTCCATGATCTGTCATGTCCGCCGTGTGTGTCTTGTCATGTGGTCCACTGCACAGCTGTGTCCCCACTGCTCCAGCAATCAAAGAGGCCTGGTTTAAAAAAATGAAAGAATTAAAAAAAAAAAAAGAAAAGAGAATTCATTAGCTAATGGCATAGACCCAGGAGGCTTTGTAAATTTAAGCCATGTAATAGTGATGTTGTGTAACATTTTGTCTAGCTCTTTTTGGAAAAGAGCCATTATCAGGAAGGAGGAAAAAAAAAGAATCTGTAAAATTCCTAATGTAATAATAATAATGTAAACATGCGTGTCATGGGTCCAGCATGATGGCTCAGTGGCTAAACCTTTCCCTTTGAAAGGGCCAGGATCCCAGATGGCACCAGCTTTGTGTCCTAGCTGCTGCATTTCCCATCCAGCTCCCTGCTTGTGGCCTAGGAAAGCAGTCGAGGACTGCCTAAAGCCTTGGGACCCTGCACCCTTGTGGGAGACCCTGAAGAAGCTCCTGGCTCCTGGCTTCAGGTCGACTCAGCTCCGGCAACTGGGGCCACTTGGGGAGTGACCCAGCAGACAGAAGATCTTTCTCTGTGTCTCTCCTCTCTGTAAATCTGCCTTTCCACTAAAAATAAATAAATGCTAAAGCAATCTGTCGCGCCCACGTGTCTTACCGCCCAGCAATAAGACGCAGACGCGAGTGAAGCCTCCTGCGGTAAAATTTATTGTGCACACCAACATGAAGAGGCCCAGATCCCGGCAGTCTGTCTGCTCTTATGTGCTGTCTGGCCCCGCCTCCGCCGATGATAGGTCGGCGTCATGATTACGCAGGGTTCTGGGCGACTGGATTCGTCAGTCCCAGTGTTTACGTGCCTGCCGCGCCGCAGCTCACTGCGCATGCGCTAGGCGCCTGCGCAGTACTGCGAAGGCTACATGACTCTGCACCAAACACCAAGATGTGGCTTCTCTGGCCGGCGCCATTTTGGGTACGGCATGTAGCCAGTACATACAGATATGGCTGGCAACAGCAATCAAATAAACAAATGCAAAATAAAACAAAAACATGTGTGTCACCTTGAACAAGAAATAATTGCTGTTTTATTAACAGATAGAAGAGCAAATGGCCAGGCTGCATTCTCCAAGTTGCCACTCTGTCTCTGTCAAGTGGCAGCAGCTCAGTCTGGATGCCCCTGAGCCCCTGCAGGCCCCCGCCCAGGTGCCCTCCTTGTTTCACAACGACCGGCTCCTCGTCTATGGATTCATTCCCCATTGTACACAGGTAGGCAGGTGCACAAGTCGTGCTATTGGGAAGAGCAATCCATTTTGCTACTTTTTTTTCTTTCTTCCTTCTCTTCCTGAGTAGCAGATTTTCCCCTTGTGGGGACACAGCTGGGTGTTAGCCTGGGGCTCACGAGGCTTCTGTCAGTGAGAAGGGGGAACCGTCATCGAGAGAACCACTGTGGACTCAGCAGAAGCTGGAATGGAAACCTAGGAGGAGTTTGTGTCTTTCCCATTGCAGGCAACTCTGTGTGCGCTGATTGAAGAGAAGGAATTCCAGGCCATGGTGTCGACTACCGAGCTCCAGAAGACAACGGGAACTGTGAGATTCTATACTTAAACTTTGGGCCAAAAGTCTTAATCGTGTGTTTCCGTGTGTGGGTGCATTCTTCCTTTGTTGTACATGACGCAGAGCTTGGTCATGTGTACATACAAAGATGGGACCAAGTACACAGCTGACTCACAGCCCAGGGGCCTCATGTCTGAACGACCCCATGGGCACTGGTACGAATAATTGCCCTATGGAGAGTTTCAAAGATGCTCATGACCCAATGAAGGCTCATTGTCAAGGCAATAGCCACACTATTGATAAATGTCCATCACAGCATTACTGCGTCAGGGTCAACTACATGCTATGTTGAAGATGTAGTTTTCCGTTTTGAAATGAAAAGCAAATTAATTACGAAATGAAAATCTCCAGGCTCCTTCCTTCTCACTCCACCCGTGGTCTCCATCACGTGGACTTTGCCCTCGTTGACCAGTGCTTTGCCCTCACTCTGTATCCTACATCTGAGTCTTCACTGCCCGGAGTGTGTGTGTCCCAGCAGGGGAGGGCTCAGCCCCCCAGGACACTCACAGGCCCTGGGTGGTATACTGGGGCATCCACAGCCTGCCCAGGCTCGGTCATATGCTCTTACAGCTCACAGAACCCAGGAAACCCCTTCCTCCCCGTCTTTGTGTCATCAAGCATGATATAAACGCACACAGAGACTGCCAGGGCAGGGGTGGCCCAGGGCAAGGCTGGAAGGGTACCCAGTGCTGGACTTCCTGTCCAACATGTGGATGTGCCCAAGCCAGGTGCCCTCTGGGCCCATTGGTCAGGTTTCCCGCAGTTGTCATCAAGCAGGAGGCTCCTGGGCTCACTGACCACTGGTGATTAACTGTGCCAGGAGGCCGAGGCTGAAAGTCCCTCCAACCGCAGGCAGACATGCTCCCATCCAAGTTAACATACACATGCGCACAATCGCAAGGGAATAACAAACCTGGCCTTGGGAGTCCCTGAAGGAGCTTTGGGACCTACTGCACACGCTCCAGTTTGACCTTGAAAACACTGAGCTGTGTATTCCATGCATGTAATTTGTTAGTCATGGGACTACTTGCATATCCAAGCAAATCATATCCCGGTTATTACTGTGTTTCTAAGGTGAGATGCAGTTTACTTTTTGACAGTGGATCAATATAATTGACAATATTTGCCAATGGCTTAATGCATGGAATTTTGCGAAATATTGATATTGCTTCAAAAATTGAAGCTAAGGGTTCAAAGGATTTTTTTTTTAATTTATTTGAAAGACAGAGTTGCAGAGACAGGAGAGACACAGAGAGAGGTTCACTCAGCTGATTTGCTCCCCAACTGGCCACAATGGCTGGAGCTGAGCTGGTCCAAAGCCAGGAGCCAGGAGCTTCTTCCAGGTCCCTGACATGGGTGCAGGGGCCCAAGGCCTTGAGCCATCCTCTGCTGCCTCCCCAGGCTGTTAGCAGGGACCTGGATCTGAAGTAGAGAAGCCAGTACTCCACGCAGCACTCATGGGATGCTGGCGCCGCAGGCGGAAGTTCAACTTGCTATGCTAAAGTGCTGGACGCAGATCAAAGAATTTTTACCTGGAAACAGATTGTTCTCTGTAAAATCATAGTCTTGAAGGTCAGCCTTCCCCTGTGGATGGATGGGATTACTGAAAACTGCTGTTGCCACTGGAGGTCAGTTCCTCACCCTAGTCTTCACCTACAGGGGCTGTGGTCCCCGTTCCTGGCTGCACACCCCAGTCCCAGCCCGGCTTCTCCTATTGCGGAACAGCAGTTTTAAATTGCCAAAATGAATTGGAGTGGCAAAATGGTCTTTGGTAGAAAAAAAGCAAACCTCAGGCAACAGAAAACATGCAGTTGAGAAAACAGGGCTGTGTCTGCAGGCTGACTGCAAGGCGCTCGAGGGAAGCTTTGAGGGTGAGGGGAGATTCTGTATCTTCATTTCGGTAGTGGCCGTGTGGCTGAAAACGTGTGTGAAAACTCATCATATTGCGTCCCGCCACATGTCAACTCCAGCTGTTTTTAAAAGAGGCTTGTAAGTCTTGGGTGAGAAGCCATCTGAATCTCTTTCTCCTTTGCTGCTAAAACACAGATGATTCACAAGCTGACAGCGCGAGCTCTGATCAGAGACTATGAAGACGGCATTCTCCATGAAAACGAGACAAATCATGAGGTTCGGTCTTTTCCTTGTAGAAACCAGTATGCCTTGTTCTTGCTCAGTCTTAATGAGTTTACCCAAGGAGGTGGAAGGTAAGGACAGTTGCGTGGAGAACAGAACCAGGGGCCAGGGAGCTTGTAGCACTGCATCTGAGACATCCATGCAGGGAGTGTGGGTGCCCGGGGACTCCTGGTGTTTTCCCGGGAACTCTGAGATGCAGAGAGGGGTGACATGGGACTCAGAGACTATGCAGAGAGTGCCTGCATGGGAGGCCATCTCGGCTCCTGTGCTCGTGCTGTTGGTATTCCCAGCCTAGTGTGAAGGCAAGAACAGGGCTGTGAAAGACCTGCCCGAGGCACCCAGCACTCTCTCCTCGCTGTGAAGGGCCCTGGCCGAAGCTCTCAGCCATCCAGCTCAGCCTGACTGTCCAGCTGGTCACCCAGAGACTGTTCGTGTGAATGAAGTGAGCATGTTGGTATTCCATGCAATCCCAAGATGGTGCCGGATACCAGGCTGGCCAGGGGCCCTAACAGGCATGGCAGATGCTCACTGGTCTCCTGAGCATTCTTGGATCACAGTGTTGTGTTCACAGCCCTTTGATCTCTGAAGGCAACTCACCAGGTCCAGCCTGGGACCATCCTCAACAGCCAGCCAGCCCCTTGAGTTCCTCTGTGGACTGAGGGCTCTGGCCACTGGTGGGCACTTTTTGTAAAGTCCAGGAACTCCTCTTCCTGTGGCAGAGCCAAGTCAGCTGACCCTGTGTTGCAGACATCTACCTGAGAATCCTGGACAGGACCCTGGACCTAGAATTCAGATTGAAATACTCACTATAAGTCAGGAAAATACCTGTTTACGTCATTTAATGATCCTCTGAGCGTGCGCAGCTAATAGATGCCAATAAAACAGGTCATGCTTTCTTTTTTTTTTTTTTCCTCCCCTAGATGAAGAAGCAAACTTTGAAATCTGTCATCATTAAGCTCAGCAAAGAAAATTCTCTTATAACGCAATTTACCAGCTTTGTGGCAGTTGAGAAAAGGGTATGTGTGCTTACTGATGTTTCTATGTTATGGAAGCTACTCTCGCTCTGTGTTTCAAAGGGCTGTGTTTCAAAGGGGGGAAGACCAGCAGGACTCAGAAGGGTCTCCCATCCATGGTGGTCTGCACCAAGATTTCTGATGAACCTCCCTAAAAGTGTATATTGTTTTTAATGCTATTAATAGCTGCAGATGTAAATTTAAAGTATTCTATCATTTGGTTGCATGTTTGGCACTTCCGACCTTTTGTTAATCCAACACCCTCAAAAAATAGATCAAGCCTAGTTCCCTGTCCCTTCCCAGAGGCCCTCTTCTCTTCCTTAGTTCACAGAAAAATCCATGGAAAGCACTCAGCACAGCTCTCGGCAGCACCCCTCAACCAAGGAGGCTTGTCTGTGCACCTTTGCTTGAACTCATGGCCCAGGACCCAAGACCCAAGCTTACAGAGAGACGCAGTGCGAATCCAACACCCACAAGGCTATAGAACGTGCGATAATCACTAATTTGCGAATGTCTTTTTTGATTGTAACCCAATTTTGAGTCCATGTAGGACGGTGATGGGGCACCTTTTCCTAATATACCAAACATCTCAACACTCATTGCCGAAGAAGATGTCGACTTCCTGCCTTACATGAGCTGGGAGGAGAAGCAGCCAAGTCCCAGGGCGGCACAGGTAAGCCCTTGTCACCCCGTCAGGAGACGTGAGCTTTCATATTCCCATTCCACGGTTGCAACAGCGTGCTGTCTCCTGCACCTGCCGGTTGCTCCCCTTATGATGGAAAATGCAGCTTTGTAAAAACATTGCCGCATTCCTGAGCAGCCACGACACATCAGTGTAGCTACAAAGCACAGAAATGGAGCAACTGCAACGATGCTTCGGTCGTGGAGCGATATGCTGCCATACAGGTAACTAGTCAATCAGATAACAGGAGAGCACTTCCGGAAGTTTATCAAGGGCTTGGGGTTTGATGCAGCGGTTAAGACGCCATTCCGGATGCTCACAGCCCATTGTCAGAGGGTCTGTGTTGCAGCCTAGCTCCACTCCCAATCTCCCAAACTTCTTCCTGATGAGCAGCCGGACAGGTAGCAGGTGGTGGCTGAGGTTCTTCGGACAACCAGACTGAGTTCTGGGTTTTGGGTTCCGACCTGGGCCAGGCTGCTGTGGCAGGCATTTGGAGACTAAGCCAGTGGGCTAGAAAAATATTTCTCTGTCTCTGCTTGTCTGTCTCTCTCCCTCCGTGTTCTCAGCCTTCCAAATGAATTAATGCATGAGTAAATAACAGTTCTTTAAAGTTTATAGAAAGTGAAATTTAAGGGCCTGGCACAATAGCCTAGTTGCTAAAGTCCTTGCCTTGCACCCAACCATTGTAGCCAATGGGGAGTTAACCAGCAATAGAAGATCTTTCTCTCTATATCTCTGCCTTTTCAATAAAAATAAACACTTTTAAATGGAATTGAAGTTTATTTCTATGCAAACCATTTTGCAATCCATACAGTGTTTCATAATGTACATTCTATATGAACTTTTTGCAAACCTCCTCTATACATGGATTTCAAAATCATTTGCACCAAAATAATCATTTGATTCTGTTTTGCATAAACTTTTTAAAGTGCCATTGCACATTTCATGTGATTGACTGGATGCTAATTGTTCTTCAATTTGTCTTGACAATTTTAATGGGCTCTGACCAAATTGCCTTGTCTCAGATCATAGTAACAGACAGCAGCAATGTAACAAGTGAGGCTGTCGGGGCAGGCGTCAGTGCAGTGGCCATCCTTCTGTCTGCCCAGGCCTCCTCCCGCAGCCTTGGCTCAACTCCTGGCCCTTCCTGCTCAGGTGCACTGTGTGAGGCAGCAGCTGATGGCACTGGACTTGGGTCCCCGCCGCCCATACAATAGACCGGGACTGGGTTCTGGGTCCCTGACTTCGGCCTGTCCCAGCCCTGGCTATTGCGTGCAATTGGGACATGAACCAGCATTTGGAAGATTTCTTATATTTTTTTTCTCTCTCTCTCCCCATTCAAATACAATGAAAATGAGTAAATGAATAAATATTTTTAAAAGAGAGGCTGCTACTCTGTCCTCTGCTTACCCCATCGTATAATTTGATTTTTTTTTTAATGGAGGGGTTGGGGTGGGCATGTGACGTGTCAGTTATTTCACTGCTTGGGATGCCTGCAGCCCAGATCAGAGGCTAGAGGTTGACTCAGCTTTGCTTCTTGTCTAGCTTCCTGCTAATATACATCTGAGAGGCTACAGGCAATGACGCAAGTGCTTGGACCCTTGCGCCCCACGGGAGAGACTCAAACTGAATCCTGGGGCCCCTGGCTTTGACGTGGCTCAGCCCGAGATGGGGCGGGTATTTGGGGAGTGAACCAAGTCATGAAAGGTCTCACTGCCTTTCAAATTAAATAAAAGATACACGCTAAAAGAATCTTTGTAAATGTGAGAGACAGAAGTAGAGAGTTCTCTCTCAGCTGCCCACTAAGGTGGTGCTCATCCAGAGCCTGGAGGCAGGAACCTGGAGCCAGGAGCCTGGAGGTAGGAGCTGGGAGCCTGGAGGCAGGAGCCGGGAGCCTGGAGGCAGGAGCCTGGAGCCAGAAGCCTAAAACCAGGAGCCTGGAGCCAGGAGCCTGGAGGCAGGAACCAGGAGCCAAGAGCCTGGAGCCAGGAGCCTGGAGGCAGGAACCTGGAGCCGGGAGCCTGGAGCCAGAAGCCTGAAACCAGGAGCCTGGAGCCTGGAGCCTGGAGCCAGGAGCCAAGAGCCAGGAGCCAGGAGCTGGGAGGCAGGAACCAGGAGCCAGGAGCCAGGAGCCTGGAGCCAGAAGCCTGAAATCAGGAGCCTGGAGCATGGAGCCTGGAGCCTGGAGCCAGGAGCTGGGAGCCAGGAGCTGGGAGCCAGGAACCAGGAGCCAGGAACCTGGAGCCAGGAGCCGGGAGGCAGGAGGCAGGAGCCAGGAGCCTGGAGCCTGGAGCCTAGTCTCCCATGTGACTGTCAGGAAAACAATTGCTTGAGCCACCATCACTGTTCCCAGGAGCTGGCAATGGGAATTGAACCCAAGCACTCTGGTTGGGAATCATAGATAAGCACTCATCACCTTCCCCCAACTACCAAATGTTGATCCTTGAAAATTTGATACACATTGGAGACATTTTCATTTTCACTTCTTTCTTAAATGAAAGGGAATGTGTCTCATATTCTTAAGAGCCTATGTATCACTTTCTCTTTTTTAAGATAGTAATTATCTTAAAATTATCTTAATTGTAATATAATCACAATTATTGTAATTATAACAATCATCTAATTAGATTTATTTGTTTAATTGAAAGGCAAAGTTACAGAAGAAGCAGAAGGCCAGAGAGGTCATTCATTTGCTGATGAACTCCACAAGTGGCTGCCAATTCAGGGGGCAAGTCAGACAGAGTCAGGAGCTCAGAACTCCAACACGGTGACAGGACCCAAGCACTAGGGGCTGTCGTATGCTGCACTCCCAGGCATATTAGCAGGGTACTGGATTGGAGGTGGAGCAGCTGGGACTTACACCAGAGCCCCTATGGGATGGGAGAGTTGCAGACAGCACCTTAGCCTACTGTACCACAAACCACTCCAATTAAAAAAAAAAAAGTCCTTTTCTGTATATTCTCTGTTCATGTCATTATCTTCCTTTAAAATTGAGATACTAGTCATCTCCTTGTTTGCTGCAATGATGGACTTAATATATGGAGTTGATAATTGTACACATGGACTAATGAGTGATGGTCAATAGCCAAAGTTTACAGATATTTTTTCAGATTTATTATTATTTTTTTAATCAGAAAGTCAGAAGGAGAGACAGAGAGAAGAATCTTCTGTCTGCTAGTTCACTCCCCAAGAGGCTGCAACAGCTAGAGCTGAGCTGATGTGCAGTCAGTCAGAAGCCAGGAGCTTCTTCTGGGTATCTCATACAGGTGCAGGGTCCCAAAACTTTGGGCCATTCTCTACTGCTTTCCCAGGCCCAAAACAGAGAGCCAGGATACAAACTGACACCCGTGTGGGATCCTGGAACATGCAAGGCAAGACCTTGAGCCACTAGGCTACCAAGGTAGGGACCAGCATCAGACTTTTTTTTTTTTTTTTTTTGATGATGATGTTTACATAGTTGATCAGGGTGGGAAGGGTCAAGCATCAGGGCAAAGAGGGTGAGACCATTGTTTACACATTTTTTTTCTCCTCCATGTACCTGATGGGGATATAAAAGGAGAGAAGCCACACCCAGCCTCCCAACCTCCTCAGCACCCGGAGATGGGGAACAGCCACCCACCTGATGTCATCCCAGGGTCCTCTTGGTAGAGAGCATTTTCGGAGAGTGGTTCCGATAGTTCTGAGATGCTGTTGATAGAGTTGTTCCAAAGATGAGGAAATCCTTCCAAGGTCAGCTGGCTGCCGTAATCCCCATTCACCCAGAAACTTGCTGTCAAGCTTCACTGGGGTAGTTGATCAGTTTGTTCTGACTTGCTTTATCTGCAGACCATTGGGTGCTGCGGCCAAGCCCAACCCTGCCCACCACAGGCTCGGCCCTTAGGGACCACAGGGTGCCTGCAGCCCTGCCAGTCAATAACCCTCACTGACTCAGCACCCCAGCTCTAGTTCCGGTGCCTGCCGGCATGTGCAGTGGACCGATCCGGTCTATCCCATTCAGATCTCATTGGCCATTGACGCATAACTCAACCAATCCGCTCCATCCTAGTGTCAGAGAGAGGCATAAGGGAGGACGGTTTGAGACAGAATGTAATTTACATATCAGCAACTAGAGGGAGTTGACTTGAGCCTATGAGGGTTCCCACCCCTCCACCTGAAGCAGCTATGCCTGAGGTTTAGGGAATTTCCGGCCTGTGAATTTCCATATCAACTGATCGCACAGGTTCTCCGCAGGATCGCAGCTACAGCCCTACACCTGCAAAGCTTCCCCACGTCCTCTCTCGTCTTCCTACGTCTCCTTATTTGTTTTAGAAAAGTTTGCCATGGAAAAACGAGTCCCTTATGAGTTATGAAAATAGTTCCCAATTCCCATGTGTATTTTAATAGTTTCCTCTTCTCACACAGATCTTCCTAATATTTATTTTATTTGAGGGACAGAACAAGAGAGAGAAAAAGAATGCTCCAACCCCTGGTTCGCTTTCTAAAAGGCCACCACAGTAGGTCTGGACCAGAGCAAAGTCAGGAGCCAAGGGGTCTCCCACGCAGGCGGCAGAGGCCTGAGTTTGGGACCATTTTTTGATGCTTTCCAAAGCAGAGAACCAGATCAGAAACAGAGTGGCCAGGAGTCTTCCGAGCACTCTTGATATGGCGTGTTGTCGCAAGCTGCATTTAATCCCCCTGGCCACAGTGCTGTGCCCGGTCATTGGATATGTTATGCAACTAAGACTTTATTTTGTTTCGCATTTTTTGTTGTTGTTGTTGTTGTTATCCTGCTTAGAATTGGGACCCAGCACCCACTGGAGGACCCAAAAAACTCTAGGCTCCTGGCTTTGTCTAGCCCAGCCCTGGTCACCACAGCCATTTGAGGAATGAATCATCAGACGGAAGGTTCTCGCTTTCTCTATAATTCTTTCAAGTAAATACATTTTTTAAGATTTTTATTTTTCTTAGAAAGTCAAATTTACAGAGAGAGGAGGACAGACAGAGAGAAAGGCCTTGCATCTGCTGGTTCACTCCCCAAGTAGCCTCAACGGCTGGGATAAAAACTGGCGTCTGTATGGGATCCTGCTACATGCAAGGTGAGGACTTTAGCCACGAGGCTACCGCACTGGGCCCACGATGTTACATTTTTAAATGGTTCGTTTTACCATGGACCAGAGAGACCTTAATTGCATATTATCTCACCTGACTCCTCTCTGGTAAACACTTGCTCCATCCTCTGCTGCTTTCCCAGGCCATTAGCAGGGAGCAGGATTGAAGTGGCTCAGCCAGGACCCAAACCGGTGCCCATATGGAATGCAAGTGCTCCAAGGCAGAAGCTTAGTCTGATATACCAGTTCACCGGCCCTGAAACTACTCCTTGGAAAAATTCTTTTTTTTTTTTAAATTGAATTTGAAATGCAGAAAGACCATCTCCCAACCTCTGGATTATAACCTAAATGAATGCAATAGCTGGGCTGGGCCAGACCAATGCCTGGTGCTCCCTTCATCCAGGACTCCCTTGGGGTGACAAGGACCTGGGTGCTGGAGGACCCATCTGTGGGTTCTCAGCACTGTGGGGAATTCGACATAAAACACGGCAGCAACCTCATTTCTTGTCTCAAAGCAAAGACAGCTCTAGTATGCAAGGCAGGATTTATTTAGGAAAGAAGGAAAGAAAAGCTCAAGGGGTTTTTTCCTCGGCTTAATATAGAAATAGGAAGCCAGAACTGGTTGCAGACAGAGAAGTTTGACTGGTGAAGGGACCAGGTACATGGAAAGAAGAGGGAAGAGGAACGCGCCCCCTGAGAGAAAGACAGCCAGGAGCTGGGGTGTCCCTGGCGAGGAGAGAGGGAGAGACACACCAGGGGGTGAGGAAGGGTCTTGGAGTTTTAAGGGTTCCTGACCCCTCTCAATTGGCTGGGAACCTAGAGGTAAAAGGTTCCCCATTGGTGGTCTCTCTTTTTTTTTTTAAGATTTATTTATTTTTATTACAAAGTCAGATATACAGAGAGGAGGAGAGACAGAGAGGAAGATCTTCAGTCCAATGATTCACTCCCCAAGTGAGCACAACGGCCAGTGCTGCGCCAATCCAAAGCCAGGAGCCTAGAGCCTCTTCCAGGTCTCCCACACGGGTGCACATGGGTTGGAAGCGGAGCAAGGCTCCAACCCAGGCTTCTCAGGCAGCATTTTAACCACTGGGCCCAGTGCTTGTCCCTACTTGTCTTTTGAAAACAGCTCTTGTAGCTAAAATCTGAGGCTAATTATTTCCACACTGTCTCAAAGACCTGTTGTCAGTATCAAACTGGATTTAGCTTGGATGTTCTTTTCCCAGGAACATTCTTTCCATTTGGATTCAGGCAATATTAGCAACAGCATCCTCATCCCATTTTGGCTTTACGTGTTTCTCATACTCTGGTGCAAAAATATTCATTTGTTTTCAATCTTCGGAAGTTTCCTTTCCTTTCCTTTCTTATTAATATTTCCAGAAAACGGAGGAAAAGACTGGCAGTGTGTATTTTGATTAGCTCATTTTCAGACTCATATACACACTGTGATTCTATTCAATGCAACCTCTGGGTTGGGTCACCTCTGTCCTCACTTTCTCCCTGTGAAGTGGGGGTGTACCCGGCTCTGAGGGGAGACCATAGCCCGGTCTCTGGAGGTGATGGCTGCTGGCACTTCCTTGCAGGGCTCAGCAGCCTTCTCTGCCTCGTGTTGGATGCAGAAGCTCTCGGGTGCTTTTCTCAGCGCTCCTGTCCTCGCATGCACGTGACGATTCTGGGACTGAGCCCTCTCTTGGGAGGAGTGTTGATCTTCTTTATGTTGTTTTTATCTGCAGGATCTTTCTTCAGCATCCCCTGCAGAGGACGCAGTGCAGGTAGAATATTCTGCTCTGTTTGATGTTGATGACGGTCTCACACTCGGTGCATGTCGCTATGAACGTCCCGCATTCGATGAATGTCGCTCTTATCTTTGCACACTCGAAGAATGTGAAGAAATGGAAATGCCATTGGGTTTAGGACATACGATTTTTGCTACTGAAGAGGACAGTGTGACGTATTTCGGAGAAGCCACGCCACCACCAAAAGTGATTGCCAATAGCTTTCCTCTGTCTGCCGATGCCGGAGCCGCCGTCTCCCTCACCTGCCCTCCTCCACCCCGTAGCCCAGCACCCATCCGTCCTCCCCCACCACTACCTGGGGGCATTCCTTTCTCTGCTTCTCTCACCTTCCTTACTCCATCCCTTAGCCCAGCACCCATCTCTCCTCCTGCACCACTACGTGAGGTCATTCCTTCCTCTGCTGCTCTCATCGCCCCTCGTCGTCTGTCCCGTAGCCCAGCACCCATCCCTCCTCCCCCACCACTATCTGAGGTCATTCCTCCCTCTGCTTTTCCCACCTTCCCTCCTCGACCCCCTAGCCCAGCTTTCATGCCGCTTTCCCCAGCACTACCTGGGGCCTTTAGTTCTTGTGCTTCCTGCCAAACAAAATTAAGCCTTGCTAGCAACGACCAAGAGATGGGGTCTCATCCCAGCCAGTTGCCCCAGGTCCTCACAGCAGGGACCTCTTGGGACACGCTTGGGGCTGAATTCTCAGCTCTACCTGCACCCCAGCCAGGGCTAAGCTTTAGCTCCGTTGGTGTCCTTTGTCAGAAGGCTCCCTCCCCGTCTCCTCCCAGATCCTCTACCACTGGTCCCAGCATAGCCTACCAATCCCATGATTCCACGGCTAATGTGAAGTTGAGTTCAAGAAGCTTCTTTCAAAGGCAACCTCTCAGGGATACCCTTGGCAATGCTCCTGCCAGATTAAAGTCAGCTAAAGTCAGATTAGGTTCTGCTGTGCAATTCAAACGCGGTGCTCTCTTGAGTTTTGAGGATTCTGTCGAAGTAGATGGTTCCCAGCAAAGTGATCAGCTTCCAAGCGAGATGTTAATGCAGCCAGATTCAGCTGTCAAAGACAGTAACTTGCCAATGGCTCCATACAGTGCAATCAAAGGAAGCAAAAGGAAAACCCAGCCCTTTAAGGCCGCAGGAGGAGGGCAGGCCGTGGACAGTCATCAGAGCTGGATGGGTGCTGTGACCTGCAGGAAGCTCTTCAGTCTACAAACCAAGGTACCCGTCTGCCCTGTAAATGCATGGTCTCTTTGTCCCTTGGCTGAAACGTGCCCGCCGCTCACCTTAGCTGGTCATCGGAACTGTCGGTGCCAGTCAGTACTAAAATAAGGGACGCATGCCAGGCGGTGAGGCACACTGCAGTCTTCCTCAAGAGAATTTTCCTCCCCACAAATGCCAAAACCCAAAGCAGCTAGCTGATAGAAGCGATGTGTTTGACACTGAGTGGCACTTGCCCCTTAGGCATTGAACCAGCTCCTTGTTTTGGTGCATTGTAATATTCCTCAGCCGACAGCGGCCCTGAACAGGTCACAAGGAATAACCTTCACATCGTAGCTGCTAAAATTGATGGAACTGCAATTCGTATGCAATTCCTGGTGGGAAGTAAAACCTGCATGCTGAAAGGCTTCTCTGGGCATGTTTTCCCAAGCGATTTGGGAATAGAGCTTCTATTCCCCCCGTAACAACGATGTCCTAGAGCTTATCATTCCATTGTCTAAGAAACATCCATCTTGCCCTTGTAACTGCCCTGGTGGAACTTGGTTTAATGAAGTAGAAGGGACTGTGCTGAGCCCAAGAATGTAAGGATGAGTCCTGGGTTCCCAGCCCCAGCACTCCGTGGTGACCTGAGCCTGTCTCCTCTTCCACATGATGGGGAGAAGGGTTTACAGGTTAAGGCAGGAAGGTCCTAACTGCCCAGCTGTCCTGTGCGAGCCTGGAGAGGAAAGCCACAGAGCAGCTGTGCCCCTGGCAGAGAGGGCGGGCCCTGCCACCAAGCTGCCGGGACCTCAGGCCTGCTTCAACCACCTGTGCTGTGTGACCAAGTCGCTCCTCCTCTCGCTGTCTCTCTGTCCTCGTCGGCAGATGTCACTGCTCCCTGTGTTAGTTCCCGCAGAGCCTAGGGGCTGTCCCCTTCAAAGTTAGGATCTGGGCCATGTCCAGATGCTGCATTCTCACATGCCCTGCACAACGTAGGCAAGGCGGGCACAGGGAAGGTGGAAGAGCAGCTTTAATGTAACTCCTTGGTATTTGGAGAGAAAAAAAGCTCTTCATCAGATTTCAGACTACCTAATGTTGAACCAAATGAATCAAGCAGGTGACCAGAGTATGTCATTAACAGTACTGCTTCATGCACTTAAAAACTCAGGCAGCAGGCTTTATTATGTCCAGTGCTAAAAAACCAGGAGGAAATTTCTAGAAGCGACAGATAAATTCACGCTATTGGTTGCAGTCATGGGGTGGTTCACAGCCATAAACATGTCCAAACACAACAGGTTTATATGTCAGTCATACCTCAGAAAAGAAGCTTTTAAAAGAAGAAATTATGCCATTTAGAAGTTTGAAAAACCTTGTGAGAGATTTAGAATGTTTCTAGACTTGTACATGTAGCCGCTTAGCATCTTGTGACACTGGGATTCCAGACTCTAGTGCTGTTGTACGGGGGCTTGGATACCTAGGTACTAAAACATTTACAAAGCTCGTAATGACTGAAATTCAGATAAATGGAAGCTTGTGTACCACTTCACCCCTTTTGTCACAACATTTCCGTGATGGAACTTCATTTTGTTTCTTAATTTCTTAGGATGGCTTCTGGAAACTTACACCCGAGCTAGGAGTTATGCTAAACGTTAAAGTGAATGCCTTATGCGGCTTCCTTGAGCAAAAAGGCATTGGCTCATTAGGTAAGTCTCATTTTTTTCCATTCACTGACGTTAAAATAGTCGTTGCATCTTCCATTCACTCATGGGTATGTTCCTAAAAACTAGTGAATTAACAGAGCAATTAAAAATGTTGTATACGAGTGGGATTATATTTGTTAAATATCAATGGAGACAGGAGATTAGTTGCCAGTCGTATGTTCCCCAGTAATTCTGGTGTCATACACGTCAGATTGCTGCCACGAGCAGTGCTAACTGCTGTAAAAACAGCACACAAGGCTTAGTAACTCCATGCCATCCAACGTCACCTGCCGGATCAGTTACTGGTCAGCAGGGAGGTTCCTCGTGTAGAACCCAGGCTGCTTCCACACTGTGGTTCTGCCACACACATCATGTGGCTTGCAAGTTCACCTGGCGAAAGCAACCAAGAAAGAAGATTTCATTCGCATCATCCGCAGACTAGACAACAGGAAGCAAACGTGGCAAGAACCAGTCACGGGCCCTACCAAGAGAGGAAGAGGAGAAGAAATTAATTCACTTTCTCCAGTTTTGTACTCAGGAAGAGAGAAGAACTTTTTTTTTTTAAAGATTTATTTTATTTTTATTGGAAAGGCAGATATACAGAGAGGAGAGACAGGAAGATCTTCCGTCCGATGATTCACTCCCCAAGTGACCGCAACGGCCAGTGCTGCGCCAATCCAAAACCAGGAGCCTCCTCTGGGTCTCCCACGCGGGTGCAGGGTCCCAAAGCTTTGGGCCGTCCTCGACTGCTTTCCCAGGCCACAGGCAGGGAGCTGGAAGGGAAGCAGGGCTGCTGGGATTAGAACCGGCGCCCATATGGGATCCCTGGCGTGCAAGGCAAGGACCTTAACCACTGCACCATCGCGCCGGGCCCGAGAGAAGAGCTTTGATAAGCATAGATCTGGCCTCTGCTGGAACAGTTCTGTGTGTCAGGACCACAGAGGGGTGGAATGAGGAAATCCTGGGCATCTTAAGCCAGCCCGTGGTAGAGCTGATCTTGTGGTGTGAGAGGTTAACCCTCCAGCTGCAACACTGGAATTCCATATTGGGGCCAGTTAAGCCTTGGCTGTTCCTCTTGCAATGCAGTTCCCTGCTGATGCACCTGAGAAATCAGTGGAGGACCAGCCAGTGCTTGAGCCCCTGCATCCTCCTGGCCCACTGCCTGAATGCCTGCCACAGCCTGGGCCCAGCCATGCCAAAGCCACGCAGCCTGGTACTCAGTCTGTCTCCCACGTGGGTGGAACCCAAGTACTTGAGTTACCACCTGCAGCCTGCCGGGTGAGCAACAACAGGAAGTTGGGAGCAGAGGCAAAGCTCTGACGTGGGGTGGGAGCAGCCTAACCGCTGTGTCAAATCCCTACCTCAAGACTGAGTTTTTCAAAAGTAGGCATCGTGACATAATGATTCAGTGTTCACGAAGGAGGGGGGAGCAGCAGTATCTACCTGCACGTTGCTTCTGAAAGGTCAGGATGCTCAGATCCCCAGGTGAGTTAGCAGGTGCCTAGACTTTCTGACCTGCCTTGGGCTAACAGGAATGATGGCAGCTGGCGCGAGGAGAGGGTGCTGATTTGAACAGCGATGGAAGAACATATTACCTCTCTGCAAATAACAGCTATGAACTACAGACAAAACACTTAAAGCCCACTCGTTGAGATGCAGCCAGAAGCAGGCAGGAACCGGGAGGGGACTCAGTGCTAAAGGGGAAGGAAGTGAAGTAGGCTGGTTGCACACGACCCAGCCCTCGCCCGGCCCGTGAGACCGTCTCACGAGGCACCTGGGCTACAGCCTGCATGGCACGAGGATGGAGGGTCAGAGGTCAAGCTGGGAAGTTAGTAAGTGTGAAAACCCTGAAAAGAGGAGGGTGTCAGCGTCCAATGGTTAAGCTAACCATGTGGGACAGAGTACGAAGCATCCAGCTCCTCTCACATTGAGCTCTCTGCCAGTGCAGCTGGCAACAAAAAATGGCCCCAAGTACTTGGGTTTCTGTGACCCACCTGGGAGACCCAGATGGAGTGTCCAGCTCCTGGTTTCAGCCTGGCCCAGCCCTGGCTTTTGTGAGCATTTGGGAAGTAAGCCAGCAGATGGAAGAGCTCCTCTCTGTTTTTTCTCATGCTGCCTTTTGCTGGGGTCCGTGCAGTGGGTGTGGAAGACACAAGGGTGTGAAGAGAACAGCTCCCCTGTGTGGCAAGGCCCGGGGGAGCTTCCAGCTGTTAGGCAAGGCCCAGCAGAAGTCTCTCCGACCACCTTGATGCTGTTTCACCCCCTGGCTGCATGGACACTCAAGCACCCCACTAAGAATTCTGTATTCTGTTGAGACATTGTTGTTTGCCCCTGTGAGACAGTTTTTGCAGGTTTTTGCAACCGATGTGAGCTTAAGAGTTAATGTCGCTGGGGCCCGGCGCGGTGGCGCAAGTGGTTAAGTCCTCGCCTTGCACGCCCGGGATCCCATACGGGCGCCGGTTCTAATCCCGGCAGCCCCGCTTCCCTTCCAGCTCCCTGCCTGTGGCCTGGGAAAGCAGCAGAGGACGGCCCAAAGCTTTGGGAACCTGCACCCGCGTGGGAGACCCGGAAGAGGCTCCTGGCTTCGGATCGGCATAGTATCGACCCGTTGCGGCTCACTTGGGGAGTGAATCATCGGATGGAAGATCTTCCTCTCTGTATCTCCTCTCTGTATATCCACCTTTCCAATAAAAAATAATAAAAATAAATCTTTAAAAAAAAAAAGAGTTAATGTCGCTGATAATGTCTTGGTGAGTGGGCCTTTGACAGTTTACACACAGAAGCACAATTAAGCCCATGCCATTTCTGGACACCTTATTGTGTGCTAACTATTGCCTCAGAACCTGGCCCAGACACACAGCACACCATCTGGGAAGGGGCTTGATATATATGTCTTAAATACTAATGCAACTGATGGGAGTGAGAGCTGAAACTGCTATGGCAATAAATATAGTTATTGTTATCTCAAAGGCTAGCTTGTCTTTGCAATTTTTAGGAGTGTAGGAAATATAATTGTTTTAGCTGCTTTTATAATTTTTAGCTAGAGGAATTAAGGATGCTTTTATTAAAGAAAAATGCTTCTGATTATTGCTTTATTGTTTATGAGGTTGTAGGAGTCTATAGTTGTAGGGGGATTTAACATTTGAAGTTTCTGTTTTAGATTTTAGGTTTTTCCCTTGTAACCTATTTTCCCATTAAATGATGGATAAATTGTAGAAGTAGAAATGTGGCAGGAATGCACTACTGATTAGCAGGTAATCGCATGTCCTTGGCCTTGGAGTCCTGGCTGTTACTCCCTGGCTACTACTGAAGAATGAATAATGGCTTGCTTTGAAGAATATGAATACAGTATTTTGCAGAATTATCTTTAGGGGCACCTGCTTAGCCCTGAAGTACAGACGGAATGATCAAATGTCTGTACATGCCCCCTTAGTCTTGAATTAAAAAATAGAACAATTAGTTGCTTGTGCAGAAGCTTGAGAGGGGTTTTGAGTAAATAAAAAGGACAGTTTTTTCTTGAGCGGTGGTGAGAATGCACCAAGTGTCTGTGTCTGTGTCTTTCCTTATCGCCGACTCCACGCACCCTTCCGAGCTCCGAACTCGGCTGGAGCTGGACTCCGGCAGACTTTCAGATAAATAAATCTGGAGGAAGAAAAAGCCGTAAAAGGAGAAGGCCATAGTGCAGGGGGCTCTGAGATGCACCTGAATCTACCCCCGCACTCCCTCAGCTCCTGGACTGTCTCTGTCCTTAATGTGCACATTTGCAGGCTGTGATGGAAGGAAGCCGGAGAGAAAGAACAGCTGGGAAGGCCAGAGCTGGGCCTTCAAGTTACAGCAACCTAGACATGCTGTCCTGGACTTGTTTCTGCACTCTTGAAAAGATCATGAAGACCTTTTCTCTCCGAGAGAAAACTTCCAGCTGCTAGGTTACTCCCCAGGTGGCTGTAACAAGGCAGGACTAGGTTAGGCTGAAACCTGGAGCTGCGACTCAGTGCGCAGGTGTCCTGCATGGATGCAGAGACCCAAGTGCCTGCTGCCGATGGCAGTACTCCTTAATCAAGAACCACACCACACAAAACAAAAGAAACAAATGAACAGGAACTATACCACGGGACAAAAGGAAATGCCAAAATAGGTCTACCCTAATAAAACAAAAAGCTTCACACGGGACAAAAGTGGATGGCAAATCCAGGGTGTCTGGATGCTATATCATGCAATATACAATACAGAGTGGAAGGGATTTGGGGTTTTTTTCTCTCTTTTTTTGCATTTTACTTAAAAAGCAGGGTGATGGCAAGAAAGGCACCCTGGCCATAGATTGTGGGCATCTTCTTAAAAAGACTTGTGTGGCTTTTGATTTTGATTGTTTTTGTGTTTATTTCAAAGAGAGAAATGTCTTCCATCTGCTGGTTCGCTCCTCAAATGCCGGCAGCAGCTGGGGCTTGGCCAGGCTGGCATCAGGAGGCAGGAACTCCATCTGGGTCACTCACTGGGGTGGCACCTGAGCCCCTAGCCACTGCTCCTCAGGGTCTATATTAGAGAAACCTGGCATTGGCAGAAGAGCTGGGGTTTGAACATTAGACTTGAACAAGATGGGATGCTATGGTGTCCCAATCAGGTCTTTTTTTTTTTTTTTAAGATCTATTTATTTTTATTGCAAAGTGAAATATACAGAGAGGAGGAGAGACAGAGAGGAAGATCTTCCGTCTGATGACTCACTCCCCAAGTAAGCTCAACGGCCGATGCTATGCTGATCCAAAGCCAGGATCCAGGAACTTCTTCCGGGTCTCCCACACGTGGACAGAGTTCCAAGGCCTTGGGCCGTCCTCGACTGCTTTCCCAGGCCACAGCAGGGAGCTGGATGGGAAGTGGAGCTGCTGGGATTAGAACCGGCACCCATATGGGATTTCGGGGCATTCAAGGAGAGGACTTTAGCCATTAGGCCACGGCGCCAGGCCCCCAACCAGGTCTTAACCCACACTGACACCTGAGTGTCTTTCATCTAATTTCACGCCCCTCTGGATGTTGCAGGTGGCAGAGAAGGGATACTCAGACATGCGACTATGATAGGCACAGCTCCATCATCCTCGTTTTTAGTTTTAAATAGTAACTTAAATGAGGTAATTTAAATTGAATAGGAAGCTAATTAGGAACCTTGAAGTGTGTTACAAATGTTAGGATCTGGCTTAATAATAATAGCATATTCTTTCACGGTCGTTGGGCACCATTTGAGATGTAGTGTTTCCAGCAGCCTTGATGAATTCCTTGCCTTTCAGGTGTCAGTGGAAGAGAAAACCTCCTGAACCTGATTGCCACGTTGTTGGTCCTGCAGTTTTTTTGCACCATGTTGGAACATGAGGGAATCGTTGTCAAGTCCTGGAGGACGTTGGATGCATCTTCCACCTCCAGGTAGCTTTTGTCACACCAAGAAGCACCTGACCTGTACAGTCCGCATTTTGTCAATAAGCCTTGTAAAGGAAATTTGGGGAGCACCTTACCCAGTCTCCTGCAGCAGGCAGGGCTGACCCAGTTTTCTTGCCAAAGGCCACTAAGGAAACAGGTCCTGAGAGTCTCCCTGTGTCTTGCACTGCAGCCCCAGTCTCCCAGCTCCTGGTTAGCACCTCTTCGTAACAGTGCGTTCATCCCGCCTGCCTTTCAGAGATCCTCAACATGAACAGTTGCAGGGCCTGGGGCAACCCACATTCCATAGGTCTGAGTATTTGGCAGTTATCAAGCAGACTAGCAAACGACTAAGTAAATGTGTCTGCTCTCCTGCCTCGACAGCTGCAACTTCATAGTCGCCTGCGGGTGCCAGGGTCACACTGAATCCTTGTTTGACCACTGGCAATCTTGGAGTGCCCACTTACATACCCCACGTCACCCACCAACAAGCCCAAGCGTACCCCACACATCGGGTGACCCTGCAGACCTAGTGATGTGTTAGCCCAGTTCAAACTCGGGAGGACAAGCCAGGAGGACCCTGCAAGTAGTCTCAGGACCGTCTGGTCAGGGAATGCTGTGGCTCCAAGGTCTCCAGGGAGGCTATGGGCTGTTTGAGAGCCTTTTTTAAGGGTTCTATGTGGGCACAGTCTCTTTTCCCTGCAGACTCTGACCCCGTGGCAAGATGAATTTCCCCTTCAGCCACATACACACACACACACACACACACACACACACACACTTCTTCAAAATACTGCTACCCACTTGTTTGTATGTGATTTGCTAATGTTCTTTTAAAGACCTGGTAAGGAGAAAACTAACAGAAAAACATTACCTGTTGATAGAGGGAGAGACTACGATAGATAAGTTCCTTGTAATGGATGATGTTTTGCTGGTTTTATCCAAAGATGTATGCTTATGCATTTAATTTATGGGAAAGTCAGAAATCAAAATTACAGAGAGAGGCACTCTCCCATTTGCTGTTGTATTCCCCAAATGGCCACAATGGCCACAGCTGGGCTGGGCCAACATCAGGAGCCGGGAGCTTCATTCGGGCCTCATGTGGGTGCCATGAGCCGGAACACCCGGTTTGTCTTCTGCTGATTTCCCCAATGCCTGAGCAGGGAGTTGGCCTCCAAGTGCAGCAGCCAGGTCGTACATTTTTTATTTATTGGAAAGTCAGATATACAGAGAGGAGGAGAGACAGAGAGGAGGAGAGATAGAGAGGAAGATCTTCCGCCCGATGATTCATTCCCCAAGTGAGCGCAACAGCCGATGCTATGCCAATCTGAAGCCAGGATCCAGGAACCTCTTCTGGGAATCCCACACGGGTGCAGGGTCCCAAGGCTTTGTGCCATCCCCAACTGCTTTCCCAGGCCACAGGCAGGGAGCTGGATGGGAAGTGGAGCTGCCGGGATTAGAACCAGCACCCATATGGGATCCCGGCACGTTCAAGGCGAGGACTTTAGCTGCTAGGCCACGCCACCGGGCCAGGTCCTACATTTTTTTAAGGAGGCATTTACTACGTAAATGGCAGAGATGGCTGAAGCTGAGCCACGGTCAAACCCAGCAGTCAGGAGCCTATAACGGGTCACGTGTGTGTGTGTGTGTGTGTGTGTGTGTGTGTGTGTGTGTGTGTGTGAATTTTTGGCAGAATTATTTTGTCTAATAAAATATTGTAGAATTGGTATCACATCACATTTCACACAGTCATCCTGTGAAATTGATGGACATTTTTTTTTTTTAACTAGGAAAATCCTTTGGAGATATACTGAGAAAATAAAGAAAGCAAATGAATGGGTGAAAAGAATGGAAGGACAATATTCGTCCATCTGCCAGCGGCTTGAACTGGGCAAAGACTGGGAATCGGCCACCAAGCAGCTCCTGGGGATCGAGCCGGGTGACCCAGCCTCTCCGCTCCATAGAGCTCTTAGCCAAAGCCAAGGCTGAAGCCGGTGCCACTGTGTTTTCATTCTTTTCCATGCGTCTGTATGCAAAATAATCATATGCAATTGAGAGCTTATAATTAGTCTTACATGATTTTATTCAGCATAGCAATCAGAATGGATCATTTGAATCAATTAGCAAGAAAGAATAAAATGAAAAAATGCTGTGTCAGCTTCTTTTTCCCTCTGTGTCTGGTTTTTTGTATTTTTGTTTTTTGTTTGTTTGTTTGCTTTGTTTTTGAGATGAACTTATTTTTATGGGAAAGTCAGATACTCATAGGAGGAGAGACAAAATGGAAGCCCTTCTGTCTGTTGATTCATTTTTCAGGCGGCCGTGATAGCTGCAGCTGCAGCTGAGCCAATCTGAAACCAGGAACCAGGAGCCTCTTCCAAGTCTCCACGCAGGTCCAGGGTCCCAAGGCTTTGGGCCGTCTTCTACCGCCTTCCCAGGCCACAAGCAGGGAGCTGGATGGGAAGCGGGTCGCAGGGACACAAACTGGTGCCCATGGCAAGGAAATAAGGACTAGGCTACCACGCCTGATTGCCCTTTATTGGGAAATACATGTGGGTAATGCTGGGTTCAGTTCCTGCCCGCGTCCTGGGGGCTCATGGAGACAGACCTAGCCGGACTGATGGATCAGGCAGGAAGGAAGTGACGAATGCCTTCTGGATTTAACCCTAACCTAACCCTTCACATCCCTTCATCCACTTCCGGCTACTTAGAGAAAGAAGCCGGGGGTCCCAGCAACGCTTTCAGTCTGGCTGTGGCCAATACATCTTCTCACCAGCTCCAGGGCTACCGACAGGTTCTGCAATCATCTTCCGGAAGCTTTCTCATTTCGCACTTGAATTCTGTGCACTGCTTGGGGGTTCATCGTGTGGAAGGTGTAAGATCACTGCATCTTCCCCTCAACCCGACTGCTTCCAGACCCTTAGCCCACCTCTGTGGAAAACCCTGGTTTCCTCTTGCACTCCTTGCAGCTTTAGCGCTCCCCACCATCCCGTCCGTGCCTGTCCCAGCTTCCCAGCTGCCATCAGTTGCCTTTTTCAAGTTCTGTTTTCTAGCGTTCAAAGTATGCCCCACGAACCTGAAAAAGGAAACAGGGGCCGAGCTTTGACCTGTAGTTGGAAATTTTCCTTTGAACAAATAGACACAGGAAAAAGTAGCCTAAGAGACATCTGCTTGGGTCTTACAGAAAAATAAATGCAATAACAGGGCTCCTTTTTGATTTTGTATTATTTATTTTATGTGGTTGGAAGGGAAAAGCAGAGAGCGCCACCGGTGCCAGTTCAGTCTTGAAATGCCTGTAACAGCCTGGCGAAGCCAGAAGCTTGCACCTCAAGTCAGGGCTCCCAAGTGGATGGCAGAAACACGACGACCTGAGCCATCACTGCCATGTCCCAGCGTGCGCGCTAGCAGGAAGCAAGAGCAGGAGATGCAGACATCTCGGCCACTTTGCTGTGTCCCTGCTCGCCCCCTGATTGCAGATTCTCATAACCCTGAAGAACAAGAAACCAGGAGGAAAGTGCTTCTGCCTGGCTCGGCAGTGGGGAAGGTGTGTGCCCTCAGCAAGTCTAATTCCACCTGCAGCAGAGCCTACATGTTAAAACAGGGGCCAGCGGCCCAGGCACCTGAACCATCATCCACCATCGATGCTCCTCCTAGGATGCACTGGCAGGGAGCTGGACTGGAATCTGCACTTCAGTGTAGGGTGTCGGCCTCACAACAGAGCTTTGCTCTGAATTTCTGTTTTTAGTCTCAGGTTTTCACAGATGTTTACAAGCACCTTCCTATAACTCCCAGTTGGTAAAGCTGTGTTTTACAAAAGCTCCTTACTGCGGGGATACCAGTTTACATATATATATATATATATATATATATATTTTTTTTTTTTTTAAAGATTATTTTTACTGAAAGGCAGATTTACAGAGAGAAGGAGAGACAAAGATCTTCCATCCATTGGTTCACTCCCCAGCGGCCACAACGGCCAGAACTGAGCCAATCCAAATCCAGGAGCCAGGAGCCTCCTCCGGGTCTCTCCACATGGGTGCAGGGTCCCAGTGCTCTGGGCCGTCCTCCACTGCTTTCCCAGGCCACAAGCAGGGAGCTGGATGGGAAGTGAAGATCCTGCTTGGAATGTCCACATCTCACATTGGTGCCTGCCCAGATTCTGGTCCCAGAGTCTCACTTCCAGTGCTAGCTCCCTGAAGTACACCCTGCGAGCTCCCTGCCAGCCACCTGGGAGAACTGGACTGAACTCTGGGCTCCTGGCTGTCCTAGGCTTTTGGGACAGTGATCTAATATGTAGAATTCTTTCTCTGCCTTTCAGACTTTTTAAAACTTTAAATATTAGGTATCTATTGGCTGCATGGGTTTTGCCTAATCTATCATGTTCCAACCTGGCTACCTTTGGTGATAGAGGCTCTGATTCTCTTTAAATTATTATTTTTGCATTTGAGAAACAGACAGTATACTTTCCATTTGCTGGTTCACCACCCAGAGGTCAAAGTCAGGAGGCCGACTCAGTTTCTCCTACGAGTGGAAGGAACACTCTAGCTGAGCCATCTCAACTGACTGCAAGTGGCTCCCTGGGTGGGCAGCTGGGGTCAGCAGCCAGAGCCGAGTCCGAGCACTTGAATGTGGCAGGTGGGCATCTTCACTTCCAAGGCTTTGTGTTTTTATTTTAAGTACTTTCTAAAAAAGATTTATTTTTATTGGAAAGGCAGATATACAGAGAGGAAAAGAGACAGAGAGGAAGATCTGTCTGATGATTCATTCCCCAAGTGAGCGCAGCGGTCGGAGCCAAGCTGATCTAAAGCCAGGAGCCAGGAGCCTCTTCCGGGTCTCCCACGCAGGTGCAGGGTCCCAAGGCTTTGGGTCGTCCTCCACTGCTTTCCCAGGCCACAGGCAGGGAGCTGGATGGGAAGCAGGGCTGCAGGATTAGAACCAGTGCCCATATGGGATCCTGGGCAAATTCAAGGCAAGGACTTAGCCGCTAGACTACCACCCTGGGCCCTTAAGTACTTTGGAATGGAAAAGTGTTTCTGCCTTGAGTATATGTGATACATCTTCTTTCCCCTCTTTGGACTTGAAACATATTCAATGGTTCTGTTTTAAAAAATTATTATTATTAAAAATATAGCCGAGGGGGATGCATGCCCATGCGGGCCTCTGATTAGGATGGACAGGGTCAGGTCCTGAGGAAGGTGGTGGGACAAATGTTCTCTTTTTTCCCTCCTGTGGAACAGGAGGAGCTCCGTGCTGTCAGAGTTCATCAGCACCCAGGGGTGGGATGGTCTTTTGATGACGCCTTTGAGAGCCCCGATGTGGGGAACAGTGTTCTGAGGGTGCCACTTCAGTGGATATGATAGTTCTGGGAAGTTGCTGGTTTTGTTGCTACAGGGTTGAGAAGATCTTTCCAAGGTCTATGGGTGACAAATTTCACCTTAGAGCATCCAAAGACAGAGACTTGCCACAAAGCTTGGCCAGGAAAGTAGCTCAACCTGTTCTGCTTTCCATTCTCTGACAAGGGAGTTGATATCCCCTGCCAGCCTAGCTGAGCTGGCTGTCATTTCTGCCTTGTGCATCTGGACACGGTGTCCACTGCACAGGCGTCAGCAACTGAGGAGGCCCAGTCCTGACACATGCACTCCAAGGTTGGACCACACGTTTTGTGATTCTCCCAGTGGCCGGGGTCCTAGTGTAGCAGTCTAGCTGGGAAAGTCCTCCAGGAAACCTCACTGCCCACAGCCATGGTCTTTGCTTTTGCCAGTGGGAGCTGGAGCCTAGCAGGGGAGTCCCCAGAGTTCCCCACCAGCCCCATTCCCGGCTCTGGGTTTTGCGCTCTGGGCTTGGTTAATGCCAAATGTCTGTTAACTATAGCAGTATGCCAACTTAATTGCTTTTCTATGTTTTTAAAAGGTAAGTAGGAAAAGCAGGGAACTCTCAGCTGGAACCCACCATCCCAACCCTGGGGTAGGCAGGTGGGTTACAGATCCCCTGGGGAACATATCGGATTAGGGGCTCTGGGCACAAACCGGAGTAGGAGTGGCTGAGAGCATGTTTAATAGTGGAGAAATGACTTCTGGGGGTCTTCCACAGACCGTGTCACTGCACTTGCAGGTAGGTGAGGGAGCCGAGGCAGAGTGGTTTAAAGGGGGAAAACCCAGAGGTGAGCCCAAGACACCCACCCGCATGAGAGACCTAGGCTGGGCTGAATAGCATTCGCTACTTGTTGGCACATCTGAAAACCGGACCTGGGGACATGTCTGTCTGAGCTAGGCTGCAGTACCTGTTGGTAAGTGTCAGGTAGGGCTGCAGCACCCACCAGAACATGACAGAACTGGATCTGAGGGCGGATCCTGTAGGAGAATTGTGGGCTTGCCTCTGTGGGACGGCTGCACCCACCTGTTTATGCAGAGAATGGGGGTGGGGACAGGCTGAGCCTGGCTGGAGCACAGAACTGACAGGAGCCAATATGACACTTGTGGGAACTGGGGCTTGGAGAAGGCTGGGCATCTGTTGGCACATGCAAAGGCTGGGACTGAGGGCAGACCATGCCAAGCAGGGTTGGGATGGTGGATTCCAGCTGGGAGTTCCCTGCCTTCCCCACTTACCTTTTGAAAAATGTAGAATAAGCAACTAAACTGGCATACTGCTATAGTTAACACAAATTTGGCATCAACCAGGCCTAGAATGCCTGCCAGCTACAGGCTGTTTTCCTCCCGGCAGTGTAACACTTGCCTAGATACAAGGCAAGTTGCCGACAGCAGGGGTAGGTTCAACTGTTGTGCAGAACTTCCTACATTCTAGATTGATCTGTTTCCCTTTCCTCTGCTCCCTGTGTCCTTTCAAAGGGACATTAGATCGGAAGGGCATAGATTCAGAACCAACATTTTTGTCAACAGGAGGTCCACAGTCGGGTTGCGTTACTCTTGGTGGGACGGCGGTGATGGGTGGGCTTTGATTGTGAGGATGGTACTCCCCAATAGTCTGTACTCTGGTGACACTGTGAGTCACTCAACATTCAGCTCCTCAGCTATCTTTCCCTTAATTAAAATGACCTTCTAGATCATTCTCTTTTCTCTTAAATGTTTATTGTTGTTTGTCTTAATGGCAAATTCACGTAGAGATGTTGCGAGTTGACCAAATCTATTC